AGCAAGGAGAGATGGAGCCCACTATGCGAGGAACGAGTCTGCACTGTCGCCCGGCATGGAGACCAGACTGACAACAGAGGGCAATGCCTGGCCCCCTCCCTGGAACACGCGCACACACACAAGCGCACAACGTGCCTGGGTGGTCATGGAGGCGGTGAGCCCGGCGTTCACAATCTCCTTGAACTCGTCCATGTTGTAGGCGATGCCGCCGCCGGTGCCGCCCAGGGTGAAGGCGGGGCGGATGATGAGGGGGAAGGCCCCGATCTTGTCGGCCGCCACCATGGCCTCGTCCATGTTGGTGGCGATGGCCGAGGCGGCCATCTTCAGGTTCAGCTTCTCCATCGCCTGCGGGGGTGGGAGGGCAGGGTGGGCTCGGGTGAGAAGGGGGGGGCGATGGAAGGGGCGCGTCGCCGTCAGACGGTTGTGCAAGGCCAGCGCAGGGTGGGCGGGGCATCGTCAGGCGACGGGCGGCGATGGATTCGGCAACCGTGCAGCACACCGGGAGCCCTACCTTGGAGAAGAGGTCGCGGTCCTCGGCCTTGTTGATGGACTCCAGCTTTGCGCCGATCAGCTCCACATTGTACTTGGCCAGCACACCGTTCTCAGACAGGTTTTTGGCCAGGTTGAGCGCCGTCTGGCCACCCATGGTGGGCAGGATGGCGTCGGGGCGCTCCTGCAGGGTTGGATCATGGCAGGAGTGGGGCGTTGGGGGCCTTGCAAGGGGTCGGATGACTTGTGAAGGCCTGTGCAAGCCATGCACGGTCCCAGAAAACAAGAGCTGCCAGGGTGTTTGGTTTGCAGAGTCATGAGTCGGCAAGGCTCCCATCCCGATGGCGCAATTTCATGGCACTCAGAGACCCTCTGGTGCGACTTCCGCATCTGAAAACCTCACCCTGGCCAGGATGGGCTCCACCAGCTCGGGGGTCATGGGGCCGACGTAGGTCGCATCTGCAGTCTCGGGGTCAGTCATGATGGTGGCAGGGTTGGAGTTGAGCAGGATGACCCTGTATCCCTCGGCCCTGCGGTTTGATACGGGTGTAAGACATGAGAATGAACATGAAGAGAGTGAGAGAGGTCTATGGCAGCATGCAGAAGGCCAGATCCTGTGCCCCTCCCCTCACTTCCATCTGGCCGGCATGGCGCAAGATGGCCTGCCAGACCCCAAGCAAACGCCCCCTCACACCAGGCCTACTTGAGAGCCTTGCACGCCTGGGTCCCAGAGTAGTCGAACTCGCAGGCCTGTTGGGTGCCAGGGAGGCACGGCATGGTGAGCACTGGGCTTCGAGGGTTTGGGCTCCAAATATCCTGCCCAAAGCACCCACCCCCGCGAACCCTTGCCCGGGTTGTACCTGCCCAATTACGATGGGTCCGGCGCCCAAGACCAGCACGCTCTTGATGTCGGTACGCTTGGCGACGCGCTGCACAGCCGTGTCCCAGGCGGTGAACGGCGGCTTGGTGGTCTCCGCAGCGGGCGTGGTGGAGTTGGCCTTCTCGGGAGCCGACACAGAGGTTACCACCAGGCGGGTTCCCCTGAATGGAGCAGGCCGGCTGAGGCCCGCATGCGGCCTGGCCAGGGCAGGACGCGGAGCGAGAGAGAAGCCTGCTCCGGCCTCCCGACCGCACAGCGGCTGTGCCGCCTTGGGCGCTGTGCTCATCATTGAATGCATGGATCTACACTGTGAGATGCGTTGGGATGCAGCTTGGGGAGTGGTGCAGGGATGTAAGCCTAGGTCAAGCACTGGAGGGTTAGGTGCTGGAGGTCCACGTGCTCGCCTCACGTGGTGACTTGGCAGCGCGCGTGATGAGTTTCGGGCCGAGGCGTGCTCGACCCTCGCGGCCCCAATTGGCCACCACATGGCATACTGCGCGTTGGGGGAAATCGTGGAGGTGCTTCTCAATCAGTGCTGGAGGTCAGTACCGTGCACGGACCCGTCACCTGGTCAGGATGGTGCTGTACTTTGTGGGCCTTGGCCTAGCGGACGAAAGGGATATCACAGTCAAGTGAGAAAAGGCGATTGGGAGTGTGATAATACAGATACATAGAGTGCTCCAATCCTCCCGCAAAAGATTACCGCAATTTGCCTCTCATCAGGGGCCTGGAGGCAGTGAGGAAGTCTGAGAGGGTCTACCTGGAGGCCTATACCTCTGTGCTCCTAGTACCCAAGGAGCAGCTGGTAAGACCCTGGTGACAGCTTCTGATCCAGATGGGCAGCATATCACGCCACGAGTGCATCAAGAGCTGCTCCCTCCCCGTTTGCATGCAGGAGGAGTTTTATGGCCGTCCAGTGATGATCGCGGACAGGGAGGTGGTGGAGATGGTGAGCAGGGCCTCGGATGTGAAGATGTCCAGTGCACACATGCATGCATGCATGCTGTTTTAGGCTTGTTTGGTAGCTGCAATGCATGCATGCTTGTATGCCCAGACCTGCACCTTCGCTGACATGCAGGAAGCCGACACTATTCTCCAAGGGGCACAGACCAGCGATGTGTCCTTCCTTGTTGTAGGGGACCCCTACGGGTGAGACACAGTACTGGGAGAGCTCCAGGCACCTTCTGCTTGGCACTCTGGGGGCATGGACGTAGGCATCGTGTGACAGCACCCAACCGTTCGCGTGCTCTCCCCCAAAACCCACACCGGGGTCCCCGGCAGAGCCACCACACACACAGATTTGGAGCTCAGGGCGCGCGCAGCCGGAATCACAGTGAAAACAATTCACAATGCTTCCATCATGAATGCCATTGGGGCGGCGGGGCTGCAGCTTTACCGCTACGGCGAGGCCATCAGCATAGTGTTCTTCACAGGTGGGCGGCGGGGGGCGGGAAGCCTGGAGCCGCATCAGGGCATGATGCTTCCAGATAGCCGTCGCCTTTCGCTCGTCAGTAATTCCCAGTAAAATGCGTTCTTGTACATGCCGAGCAGAGACCTGGAGACCCGACAGTTTCTATGACCGCATTGCCGCCAACAAGAAGCTTGGGCTGCATACCCTGTGCCTCCTGGACATCAAGGTCAGTGCGTTTGTTTGGGTGGGGGGGGAGGAGAGGGATCCTGGCACCTGTGCCAATGTTGTATGACCTCACATGTACCACATCAGAGACACTTCAGCGCATGTGGGCATGGTGGTGAGGCAGTTGGGGTTGAGCACAGTGATGGCACGACCTGCATGCACAATAACAGCAGCAGGGCAAATGTCGCTCAACGCCTTGCCAGTCCATACACCTAGACTTTGACCATTGCATGCAAGCTGCCTCTCCACCACAGGTGAAGGAGCCATCCTTGGAAGCCTTGTGTCGAGGCAAGAAGATCTATGAGCCGCCACGTTTCATGACCATCAACACCGCCGTCGAGCAGCTGCTGGAGATTGAGGCGAACAGGGGCGAGGGCGCCTGCACCCCGGAAAGCAAGGCAGTGGGAGTGGCACGCATTGGGGCCGACTCCCAGCAGATCGTCGCCGGCACGCTGGCGGAGCTAGTGGAGGTGGACTTTGGGGCGCCCTTGCACTCCCTTATCCTGGCAGGGGAGATGCACCATATAGAGTTGGAGGCATGGGAGCGGCACCGGTTGTGATTTTGACGAAACACGAAACGAACTACCGGTTTTCAAGTAGTGGAACGTGGGCTTGCGACGGATGTCGTTAGTTGGTGACCTGCATGCTGAGCTCTCCCGACATTCGGGCGCCTGCGCAACGCTCCTGACAGGCTGGCCCCAATGGCATGCAGCATCGCCGAGACCGACCTACACACAATCATAGACTGGTGATCTCATTCCGCGCTCGGAAGGGTGGGAAGAGTGTGGAGCACATCGGCGGACCTCCTTCCCTCACAATCGCTTGCCGGGCCTCGGCTCTGACCTGCCCAGGCTCGCGACACAGCTGGTTGGGTGCACCATGGCTTCTGCGGGGGGAAAGATGTTGAGTGCAGAGGAAAGACGTCGTCAGAAGGAGCTGGAGGAGGCTCGGAAAGCTGGACTAGCAGCGCCCGAGGTGACGATGCTGGGCAGTGCTATGGTCCTCACGTGGAGGGATGCACACAGACGTGGGCACTCTTCATCCACATGCAGACTATCATTCAGATTTCCTTTAGCCATTACCTCCATCATGCCCAATACCGACCATAGGTGGATGAGGAGGGAAATGCCATCAATCCCCATATCCCACAATTTATGGCCAGCGCTCCCTGGTACCTCAACAACGATCGCCCTTCTCTGAAGCATCAGAAGAACTGGAAGGAGGGGGTCACAGACACCAAGGTCTGGTACGACCGCGGCGCCAAGGTGTTCCAAGCCACCAAGTATCGCAAGGGCGCATGCGAAAAGTGAGCGCAGGGATGGATGAATTATGCTTCCTCTCTGTGCGCTGGTGCTGACCTGTCCATTTTCATTGTTTGGTGTTGGGTGCAGCCTGATGAATTTTTATTCCGTGCCTGACATGGCGCTCACTGCCATTCCATGGAGAACCTGCTGGCGAGGATGTCCACCATCTCCTCTCCCTCACTCCAACACTCAGCTGTGGCTCCATGGCCCACAAGACCAAGGACTGCCTGGAGAGGCCGCGTACCAAGGGAGCACGCTGGACAGGGAAGAGCATTGCTGCCGACGAGAAGGTGCAGGACATCCAGCTGGCGGGCTTTGATGCGAAGCGTGATCGATGGAATGGGTACAGCAATGATGAGTGGGTGAAGGAAGCTGAAAGGTGCGATTGTTGAGGTGGGAGGTCTGGCACGGGATGCGGAGCATATCTAGCTGCAATGTGTAAGCTACCGAGGAGGTCCCATAAGGGACATTTCCTATGCTGTGGTCCTCCTCCCTTGCTCTGGAGAAGAGGGTCCAGCCCCCCACCCCCCACCCCCTCCCCAATCCCCCCCCAATGGCTGCTGCCCCACTTGGAAATCCTTTCTTTAATCCCACAGATTTGAGAAGGTGGCAGAGTTGAGAGCAGAGATTCGTCGCAAGGAGCTCATCGACCAGACGGACGGGGATGAGGAGCTGGCCGTTGACGCTGACCTGGAGGAGGAGGAGGATAAGGTGGATGAGACGGACAATGCAGGTAGCTTGGTGGAGATGATATATTTGGAGGAGCCAAGGAGGTCTGGGATTCAGTCTCTACATGCAGTGCTCGCTAAAGCTGGCACTGACCTGCTTTGGGCCGACAAAGGTGGACGCCTGGGGGCGTGGAGGCATCGATCCTTTGCGTGCCCTCTAATAGCTTCCTAATGGTCTCCGCACCTGCCCCATTATGCAGGCTTTGCCAAGGTGGAGAAGGCTGTGCGGACAGTGGGTGGCGGGTCCACCGGGACCGTACGGAATCTACGCATCCGCGAGGACACAGCCAAGTACCTGCTGAACCTGGATCTCGACTCAGGTGAGCTGGGGCTTTGAACGGCAGCAGCAGGGTAGGCGTGGATGCTGTGTGTCTGGAACTGCAGGACCCTTGAATTGCCTGGGCCCTTCTCTTGATCGGGTGGTGTGCAGGGCCTGTTGGCAGGAAACGTCAGGGTGGCTGACCACCCTTGGTTTCGGCCATTGTCATCCATTGACTCCTCTCCACGAAGTCCATTCCTCCTCACCGACACTCAATCGAGCATCGTCTCAACATGAGTCCCATCAACCTTTCCCTCTTGCAGCCTACTACGACCCCAAGTCTCGGTCGATGCGGCAAGACCCCAACCCCGATAAGGACCCCTCCCAGAAAACGTTTGCGGGGGACAACTTTGTGCGCCAGTCTGGCGCCGTGGCGGGCTTCTCCTCGCTCAACGCCTTCTCGGTCACCGCCTACGAGCGCGGGCAGGACGTGCACCTGCAAGCCACCCCCTCCCAGGCCGAGGCCGCCTTCCAGCAGTTCAGGACGCGGAAGGAGGCGCTGGGGCAGAGCAGCAAGGCCGACATGCTGGCCAAGTATGGCAACGCTGCAGCCCCGCTGACGGAGGACGTCGCAGCACTGCGTGGCAGCGAGGCCTACGTCGAGTACGACGCCTCAGGTGAGGAAAGGGAGGAGGAAGGGGAGGGGGTGCATTTGCGGGTAGGCCTGCGGCGAGTGCGGGGGTCTCTACGGAATTTGGCAGCAAGTGGTGTTGAAGGGGGCATTTCCACTCCCCTGCAAATATAGATGCATGTACTTGTTCGTCGACCCGTTCTGGAACTCCCCCGTGCCTCATCCCCCCAACCCTATTCTCTCCTCTGCAGGCCGGCTGCTGAGGGGCCACGAGGTGGTGGCCCTGAGCAAGTACGAGGAGGACATCCACCCCGGAAACCACACGTCAGTGTGGGGCTCCTACTGGAAGGATGGACAGTGGGGCTACGCCTGCTGCCACCAGTTTGTGAAGAACTCGTACTGCACGGGCAAGGTGCGTGGGAGGGTCACAGGGTTTTCAGAGGGGGAAGAAGAGGCTGCCCTGTCCATGGCAGTCTGGCTTTTGGTGTGAGCAGTGGAACGTGGGGTGCCTGCATCGTGTGCTGTCCTCAGCGCAGTCGGTTGGTCGGTGCTCACATGGTCTGCTCCATGGCCACTCGTGCAGGTGGGGGAGACGGCGGCCATGGAAGCCGCCGAGCAGCTGCATCGCAACATGCAGAACAAGGTGCAGGAGCTCGAGGCGCGGGAACCCACCTCGAGACCCGAGGGCACCCAGCCAAATGTGAGGAGTGGGGGAAGAGTGTGTGCTGGAGTCCATGCTGGTGTATTATCTTAGGAATTATGGGGTTGAAGGGCAGTGGAGGCCGCCTCACGATGCAACAAATGGGTTAAAGGAAACTCGGGCCCCAGCTCACCGCCGTCCACCCACCACCCCTCGCTCTGCGCGCAGCAAATGGCGCTGTGGGGCACGGAGACCGAGGAGGGCGTGCAGCTGGACGATGCCAAGCTGAAGGCAGCCATCCAGAAGCAGGAGCGGCTGGAGCGGGAGGCGCTGGAGCAGGACGGCCGCAAGCGTGGGTACAATTCGCTCTCCGCGGACGGGCTGGAGGTCACGGCAGAGGATATGGAGGCGTACCGCCTGAAAAGGGCGCGGGACGACGACCCGCTCGCCGCCATCACGAAGGCAAAAGCGGGGCCGGCGGCGGATGGGTATGACCTGGTGTAGCGCCCACCGAGGCTGCGCTGGCAGGGCAGCATTCCGCAAGCGGTCCTGGGGAGGAGTCGGGGACATGGCGTGAGAGACCCCGTCGGGGCCATCAGCTTCCGGGGGTCCCACACTCTATCCCGGGAGTCAGACCTGCACTTGTTGTGCCTTGGGATCATGCTGGCGTGTACATGGGAACAGAGGACCAGTGTCACTTCTGTCTAGGCTGACAGGGCGCAATCGAGGGGTCTACAAGAAGGCACAGGCGAACGAGTCGCGGGATGCCAGCAGGAGGCTGGGCTGGGTCGGGTGCCAGCTCAGCGTGCCAGCCTTCATCCCAGGCAGGGGGATGTGCACGCACGAGGCGCCGTTCGACGTCCAGAGGTACAGCTTACCGTACCCAGAGCACATCATCAGCCTGTGATGCATGAAGAGTAGAGAAAGGGGGAAGCTTGGTGAGAGAGTGGCGCCAGTACCTTTCACCCTGTGTGCTGGGATGGTGCTTGGCAAACCCTACAGAGCGATGTGCAGCGCCATTTGCCACACCAATGTGCCTATTCGGTAACTTTAAACCTACACGCCGTCCAGGCTGCAGGAATGCCTGCCCGGAGTCCCACCCTCAACCCTCTATTCCCCATCACCATCTGGAACCCCAACTGCAGCCCACCTGTTGCTATCAAGGTCCCACACGACGCTGCGGACCGGCTTCTTGAGGCACACCAGGGAGGCGAGTGCCAGCTTGCCAGAGTCCCACACGCGAATCGTGTTGGGCGTGCTGTCGCAGCGTGTGGCCAAGTAAGCGCCATCGTGGCTCCACAGCATGGTGCCTGCGAGACCAGTGCACATATGTCATGTCCTTGCTGGACGCTCTTGTTCTAGGGAAATGATGTGGCCACAGGGTATGGCCCCACTGCAGTGGCTGGCTCGGAGTGAGGAGTCCAGCCACAGTCACAGTGGCAAATGGGTGGAGCATCTCACCCCACCTTCACACACACTCACCAATGCCCATCCTAAGGGGAGGCTTGTCAGCTGCCGGCCTATGGGGTTGGAGGGACATGGGCAGCGCCGATACAAGGAAGCGGGACCTCGTCTGGCCCTGGTCATCTGGCTCAGCCCCTGCACAGGGAGGTTTGTGAAGGGCATGCAGGACATGCTTTCGATTCCGGAGGTGGGGGTACATTTGCCCTGGGGAGTTGACAGGGCAATGCCATGCTGCGTGTGCCGGGGCCATTGGCATTCTGTCCATGTGAATTTTTAGAGCCAGGCACATCGATGTGCATACCGGGGGATGATATTGCTCATTCCGCCACCGATCTCAGGGGGCCAGGCATGTGCCATGGGATGGACGCACCACCCACCATGCATCGCCAAAGTCCTCCCCCCTGGCCCCTCCCAAGCAAGCCTCGCCTGTCGACTGAGGGCAGCACGCGCTCGTCACAGGTTCCTCCTCCCTCCACCCGCCCTCCCCGTCCTTGGACGGCGGGGAGCGTGGGATGCGAGATGCCGGGCCACTGACTCCGGCCAAACCATTCCGTGGCCCCAGGACGGTCCTCTCCTCCTCCACTTCCGAGTATGCGACCAGGCCAACTGGCCCCTGCACTGCCCCGGGGTGAGGAAAGGACGCCAGCCGCTGCCAGGTGTAGCTGCTCAGGAGCTGCACCTCCCCGTCGTAGCTCCCAATGGCCAGCAGCTGCCCGGAGGGTGACCAGGCCACCGTCCGGATGCCCAGCCCCGCGCCCGGCGAGGTGCTCCGTGCCAGGACCTCGCCCACCGGGCTGAGCACCAGCAGGCCGTGGCCCGCGGTGGGCGCCTCCCAGACCGCCAGGCAGCTCCCGTCCGGGTTCCACGCCATGTCTGCGAGGTCCTGCGTGCCGGGGCTCCACCTCCCCTCCAGCTGCCAGGTCCTGGTGTCGTAGACGGCGACGGAGTCCTTGCACGCGCTCCTCTGCGCCGGCAGGGAAGAGAGCAGGGCTTGTTGGGCGGGGGTGTGGGGGCCCGTGGTGACCTGTTGCACATGCCAACCGGGTCGCACCGCACCCATATCCGTGAGAGAGGTTGCAGTCCTGCGGCCCTGGTCCCGTCGATTCTGTACCTGTGCGATTGCCAGCTGGAGCCCATCCGGGCTGAAGGCCAGCCCAGCATGCGCGTGCTTGGGGCCCGGGAGCTGCAGGCAGGTCTGCCCCACCAGGCTCCACACGGACAGGCGGATGCAGAAGTCGGCGACGAGCAGGACGTGGGCTCCCGAGGGGCTCCAGCAGGCGCGCACGCACCCCGCCGATCCCTCCTCGATGCAGCAGCTCCAGGCAGAGTCCTCCACGCTGAACACCAGCACGGAACCGGTGCGGAGGGGCCCCGCCAGGATGTGGACAGAGTCGGGGGACCATGCCAGGGCCTCCACCTGTTCCGGCACCGAGAACAGGGCCACCACCGCCAGGGAGCTTGCCTCCCGAACCACCAGGCGGCAGGCCTGGGCATGGGCAATGTACTGTCCATCGGGAGAGAACTGCGGCACCGAGCCGGTGTATGGTGTCCCCTCGCTGAAATCCATGATGGCGGGGGCGGGGGGGTGTTGCGGAGGGTCAAATTGCGGCCGCGACGCTTGCGAATGGAGAGGCCGGGGAAGTGGTGACTTCGCGCACAAGCATTCGGCCGACTTGATTGTCCAATGTCTCCGTCAGCGCCCGGAGTATCTCAGCGAGGGCATTTCCGGCCCATAGTTCAAGGCTGTCGGTCACGAAATACAGATGTTCCAACTTTCTTGGTTACCGTGAGATTGGCGACGAGGTGCTGGCCTTCTGTACGGGGTTCCTGCGCGACAGGTTTGCGATCAGACTCTCATGCTGAGTGCATGACAATGGGCGATCCCTCTGTACGCGTCACACGATGGACGAGGAGTGTATCAGCTTGATTGACCCTCGTCAGGACAGGTGCAAGTGAACCTTCCTCAACATGATCACCGACATGGAGGCACGGGCACCAGAGCAATGAGCAGGTGACCATATAGAATATGAAATGTCTTCGTTATGGATGTGACTCTGGCTGCGAGCTTGTGTGGAACCTGGGGTCGCACGAGGCTCCTGCGAAGAGTGGTGGGAATGGATTCTCACGAGACCTTGAACTTCATACGTTCCACTCCTGCACCGGTGGGCAAAGATGGACGCTGACGACGCCACTGTCAATTTCTATGCCAAGTTGAGCGCCCGACTGGACGCTGATCTTCAGCATGAAGATGGCGCCCTGTGGCTTTGCTCCCCCGTCCGCCATGTGCCCTCCACCCTTGAGGATGTGGGGTGGGGCTGTGGATGGCGCAACTGTCAGATGCTCCTCTCGAGTACCCTGACCAGCGACTGTCAGGTGTGGGGGACATCCTGGCATTCACAGGGGTGGGCCCCAGTTGTTTAGCATGTCCACGAGACTTGGCATTCGTGCTTGCTCACACCCTTGCCGCTCTGGTGCAAACATTCCCAGCGCTCTCGGTCCTGCCCTCCACAGAGCACCGTTTGCAACCAAGTCCTGTGCCAAGATGACGGCTCCGCGGCACTCCCTGACATTCTCACGCTGCAATGCCTCTTGGAGGCTGCCTGGGCAGCCGGGTTTGACCCGGATGGAGCTGCACAGCTGGGTCACAAGGTGCAGGGCGCCAAGACCTGGATCGGCACAACCGAGATTGCAGTCATCCTGCGTTTCCTCGGAGTTGGTGCCCGCATCATCGACTTTGGCGTCCGAGCCCATTCGAGTGCTGGGGCCCCTCCTCATGCCAGTTTCTCCTGCGATGCCTGTGGCATGGCCATCATCCAGGGCACCAGGTACCACAGCTTGGTGCTGGACGACTACGACCTCTGTGCGCGGTGCCACCGCCAGCATGGAGGGGGGCCAGTTGGGCCGTTTGAGTGTGTTCAGCCCCCACCAGGTAGGGGGGTGGCCCAGCATGGAGCCTGGCCATGGCAGGGGACTGGACCAAGTGCTGCGAAACCTTCTCAGCTACTTCATTGGCGCGCAACACACACTTGCTAAGTGTGTGTACCACACGACCACAGCTTGCGTAGAGGGAGACGCACGCTGATCTGCCCATGGAGCTCTCAGCCCGGTCCCCACCTGCAGGTTCAGCTGACAGGACTGCCGTGCAACTGCTCAACTGGGCGCACACCTACTTCACCGAGGGAGGGCCCAAGGAAGGTCAAGCCAGGGGACTCTTGCGCACCAGCAGGCCGCCACTGTACCTTCAGCACCAGGGCCATTCCAGGACAGTCATTGGCCTCTTGGAGAATGCTCAAGGTAACAAGGAAGGGGACCAGGGAGGTGCTGTGATGGCGATTTCATGTAGCGACTCAATTCCTAGGACGTGAATGGCTCTACTTGTTCAACCAGGGGCTGCTGTAGCTGTCTGGGCGGTGAGCCTTGCCCGTGACCGCGCCCTCGTGACCCCGGCAGGAGCGCAGGCTCTCCTAGTGCTCGATCCAGCCGTGACATCCTCCGCGATGCACAAAGCGCTGACCGTCCCAAAGTATTGGCGTAGCGGCATGCTCTTGCAGCCACGATCGTTGGGTCACCCTCAATACCAGGTGCTACGATTCGATAGTACAGGAGCTGGTGTCCCGGAAAGCGACCTTTCCAAGGTCATACTTGCGGCGGAGGCATTTCCCTGACATACCCATTGAAGGACTATGGGTAACATATCACCTTCATTTCTGCATCTCGTAATACTACCATGATTTGTGAGTGATATCATGTGAGCAGCCCGGGCTTCCGCTGTCCTCGGACCCGGCGCCATGGGAGGGGGGTGGGAGGGGATTGACCGATACCACGATCCAACCTCTGTCCGACCAGAACCAGTTCGTACGAACCGCTACCTTGGAAATGACAACCTCAACCCGCATGTACTCTGTATGTTTCAGGACAGCAGATTCATACTCCAGGAGTCGCCGCAAATCATCCGAGCAACGGTCGTGACAATGGGCCATACCCTGGCTTGAAGTCGAGCAAGAAGTAAGTTCGTCGCGCTCGCCCGACCTATGACATGCCTGCCACTCTGTGACGCCGATCTGAAACACCGGTTGTTACAGATTGCGGGAGTGTCCTGGGACCACTATCACAGCTTGTAGATCCCTGCTGGTGAATGGAACAGGCCATGAGCAGATGCTGGCTCGGGATCCAAACACTGCCATGCATGGGCGTTTGATCGATGAGAGTCCCTCGGTGTCCGCAATCCTGCAAGATAGGCTCTCGCGTTTCCTTGGAGATCTGTCCGCATACCTTCCGACTCGCCGTGCCCGCGATGTTCGACGCGGTCAGCTTCATGGCTTCTCCCACACGATCTGCCCACGAGTTACGTTATTAAGCTGCCAAAGGCAAAAACATGGTGGATGAATCACACTACCGCCCTGAGGATCGTGCGCTCAGTTTAAACTGACGGAAAGCCAGGTTCTCGTGCTGTGATGATGTCAGTGAGCACGTCTAGGGGTACAAAACTCGGGAACTCCAATTGCACATGGAGGGTAGCACCTGTTCGACCCGGGGAGCACCGGAGTCCCGCACTCGCACCCTCCAGTCGATCAGGTTCTACCAGGGATTGAGCGTGGGACGTGTACGAGATAACGCCGTGTGTCGCGGGTGGACCTGTCCTGGCCCCGGTCCCAGGTTTCAACGCGCTTCGGCTGAAGGCCAACGAGGCCATTTCATTTTGAGTCGGGGTCGTCCCCCGTCATTCTGAGCCCTGTCCTTTTCCAACTACTTCAAAGCACATCTAGGTTACATTATAAGCTGGTGCAGGGTGAGCAGGTTCGAAGTGAGGACCAGCGAGGCTCTGCAGATGGTGGGTACCTTCCTGCGTCGCAGGTCTCGTTTTCAACCCCCCGGTCGCACGCCCACCTCATAGGAAGGGGCAACAGGGCGGCATGCCCGGCGCGTACCATCCCGGAGGGACCCATGGGTTTCCTCATAAACGTAAACGGAGTGGACCCAAGAGCAAGAGCAGTCCGTACCTGGGCGTGACGCAGTATAAGAGGTGGGTTGTCGACACGGGCGGCATGCTGGTCCGCTCCCCAACAGACCCCCTTGCAAGCAGTACTTACGCACTGCGCCTTACATTTACAATCCACGCAGAACGGGTCGTTTCGAAGCCCACATATGGTGAGTCTGGTGCCGGACTCCAGAGTTGTGTGCGTTCTGGTGGCTATAAGTGGGGGGTGTTCTGCCAAGATGGGAAGAGGTAACCCGCTCCTGGGTCCCCTGCACTGTGATCCAGGCAGGTCTCAGCCTTGGGGCTGGGGAAGATCCTGCCACGCATGCATTCGCCTGGCTCGCAGCCTGCCCATGTCACTCCGGGGCATCCCGCCGCAGGATCTTCGAGGCACGTGGCGCCAAGGGGCACCAGCGGCACCTGGGCTCCTACGATAGCGCCGAGGCGGCGGCCCGCTGCTACGACCGCGCCGCGCTGCACCTGCGCGGCCCCTCCGCCGAGCTCAACTTCCCGCTGCGCGAGTACGAGGAGGACCCCTTCATGCTCGCCCACAGCAAGGCCGACCGCGCGCGCTTCCTGGACCTGCTGCGCGCCGAGTTCGCCATCCAGCCGGAGCGTGCGGCGGCGGCGCGGGCGAGGACCAAGGCGGGCACCCCGCCCCGCCGGGCGCCCCTCCACGGCCCGCACAGCCCTGTCTGCGCCGATGACGGCGTGCGGGCGGGCAGTGGGCCCCTGTCCCTGGCGCTGGGCGTGGAGGCGCGCGCCGCGGCGCCGGGCGCCCACGCGCCGCGCCGGCGCGTCGAGGAGGAGAGCGCGCACCAGCAAATGCTCTCGCTGCTGGCGCTGGGCCCCGACGGCCTGTTCGATGCCTCCCCCGGCCGCCCGCTCAGCGTGGAGCCCCTGGCGCCACGCCCCCTCCGCGGGCACGGCTGGGAGGCGTCCGCCCTCAACTCGCGCGCCGCCTCGCCCTGCCACTCCGCGGCGGCCCCGTCCTCGGACCTGTACGCCTGTCACGCCGAGGCCTCCTCCCAGCTCCGCCTCCAAGACGCATACGGCGAGGAGGCGTATGCGCACGCCGGCGAGGTCGGCGGGTGGGCCGCGCAGGCCCACCCCGCCGCCGCGGCGTGCGACCCATGGCACGCGCGGGCAGTGGGGCTGCGTGCCGCCGCTGCCCCGCGCCTGAGCCCCATGGCGGCCGTGGCGGAGGAGCTGCGGGCCCTGCAGCACCTGGCCTGCCCCGCCACCGACGCCGCCGCCATCCTGCCCAGCACCGTGGTGGGGTCAGGGGTGGCGTACCTTGCGGCGGGGGCGCGGGGTCGGGGCGCCGTGCTGGTGGGCACCCCCCTCCAGGACCTGGCCTGGTCGGCGGCGGACGCGGAGGAGGTGGGCAGCCCCCTCATCATGCTGGACGACGGCGGGGTGGGCGCTGGCTGGGACCTGGGGGTGTACTGACCCAAGAAAGCCGGCCCGCGCGGCGCGCTGCAACCGCCTCACGAGGTGCGGGGGTGCCGCCCGGCAGGGTGGGTGGATGCTGGTGCCCGGGGGATTGAACGCAGCGTCGCCAGCCTCAATCCCTTGACCGAAACTGCCTGCCGATTCGCCTGCAGGTGAGCTCTCAGGCCCTAGCTTCAGACTGCACAGCTGTGAATTCAGGTGCAGGGACCATTTGGACAGCTCATCTGACTCCGCAGCGGCGCGCACATGTGGTGTCTGCGCCAGGTCCACTCCGACGCACTTGGCAATCCTTGGATCCCCTGAGGAACATTGCTGCAGTGTGAAACTACAGTCTATCCTGCGTACACTAGACAGGAGGGAGTCCCAACATTGCTCGTATGACGCCTGGCTTGCAGGGGCTGAAATTTGAATCATATCGGGCAGCAAGTCGCCCCGGTCCTCATGTCTCGCCTTCCTTCACACTAACGTTGATCGCCCTTCCAAGTCCCCAGAAAGACCTTTGTGTGCGAGGCTCTTTCATTTCACAACGGGAATTGAACTTATCAGTTGTTTATATCATTGGCACATTGCTGTATTGCACCCTGCACCATGCTGTGTGGAGCTGCTGTAAGACAGGGAACAGGCTAGACTGTGGAAGTACCCTGGACCACAGTGGCAGAGGCCGAGCAGGCTTCTACTCGTGCCACATAGAATTTCATGCAAGCGTCACGTAGCCCTGGAGTCAGTCTTGCCTCGGCTCTGACAACTGGCGCATGAGACGATCGACCGTCTGTGACCGACTGAGCGCCGTCTCCAGGGTGCGAACGCGAGCATGCAGCTTTGCGCAAACTGCGAGCATCGCATGCCATGGGAGGGAGCAGGCTGGTTTGGGTCCCCGCACTACATTACCGGGCACGTGCCACAGTGCTGCGCAGCTGATCTGGTAGCACACACTAGCCGCCATGACCTTGAGCCGTGGCCCGTACAAAGTCCAACCACAGCACAGGGTCGCACCTCGAGCTTGCTCGGCAAAAGTTGTGGCATTTGGGACAGAGTGCGACTGTTGTGCCAGAGCAACCTGCACCATCTCCTGACAGCGTCTTGCCTGGGCGGTGGCTGCCCTCAAGCTATCCTCCACTTGCTTAAGGTCTTCCACACCGGGCGCTCTGCCAGGCATCTAAATTAACTTGTATGATGCAGAGCACACAGGGCCAAATTTGAGGTAGGAAACACTTCAAAGGGATTGCACCCTCCCACCAGCCACCCCTACTGCCTGTGTCAATCACCTCGAGAGGACCTGTGATTGTTGTTGCAGGAGGACTTTTACAGTCTGCGCCAGGCTCTCAGATTGCTCTTGATCTGCTCTGGCTGCTGTCCTCAAGGCCACGACCTGTGGGGTCAAGAAGAGTCGATGGCCTCCTCTGATAAGCAACACCTCGCTCATTGTGACTGAGGTTCGCCATCCACCGGATACTGTATTGCTTAATCTGGCCATTCCAACCTCCTTGCCCCTGTGTGAATCCAGCCCCCAATCATGCCTGCGCTTTGAGCCTGCCCCGCTCATCCAGCCAAGCCTTTCTGTCGCGGTGCAGCTGGCGCACTTCTGTCAATAGAGCAGCCTCCCGTCCAGCAAGCTCCTTCGTTTGGTGAAGTGACAGCACACAGGGTGAATAGGTCCAGTACATGATCAATTTTATGCGGGGAGTGAGCGCAGGGCGGCCATTCTCCTTACCATGTAATGGCCCACCTGCAACTGTTTTAGCATTCTCTCAGCCTTTGAGGCTATCTTTCGACGGACTCCCTCGCGTGTCATGTTTCCAATGGTGCCCATGAGGCTGGCCAGATCCCGTGCGAGGGAGAGGGGAACGTCTCTGGCGGCTGGGTCAAAGGAAGAGTCCCGAGCGTCATCGACGGGTCGATGGGTGGTCTCGCCATCAGAGTTGTCGTTCAGCTCCTCAGCTTCAGGCTGGGTGCCGATTGAATGATCGGGCCTTAGAAGATGCGAGGGCTCTCGGGAAACAGCCGGGGTGGTATCGTTGCCCCAGACGTCGGACGTCGTCGCATCGGAACCCATCTCCAGGACAGGGAGTTCGTCCTTCATATTGCTATCGCACGCAATGGGCAAGCTAAAAAAGGATGACTAGCGCCACGTACTTCGCTGTCTCCGCACATGTCAACGCCGTTCAGACCATCATCGAGCGCCGTCGGGTTTCGGCACCACATGGGAGATCTCATGTCAGATTTTTCCAGTTTGTGATGGAAAAGTTCGGCAATCAAAAGAATACAAACTCTTGCCATCCACCATTTACAACGCGTCTCAAGATAGTTAGCCATTCTGTCATTTTTTCTTACAATACAGCAACGCATCAAAACCACTTTTCAAGATGCGGTAGATTATGAGAGAAAAATTGGTCGTTGGGAGGTGAGGCCCAGACTGGAACGACACACTCATACCATATGGGTGGATGCAGATACTTTCTACCTCCTACTGCGCAGATGTGAGCCGCGTGGACGGGGGAACGTGCACAGAGGCTCCGGGAGCATCGTAGAACGCGCTCAGCATCAGAGCTGCAGCCACCGAATCCTTCATCTGAGCATGGATACAGGTGGCTCATGAGTGTGTGTGCAGCATTTGCTCATCCCAAACACGTGCCCGCTCCCATCACTGCCATCACCTGCAAGGCCCTCTTTTTCTTCATTCCCGAGGCCTTCATGTCGTTCAAAGCAAAGAGCGTTGTGTTTCGCTCATCTGCAGCATGTAGACATCATGGGGAAGTATGACATTCTGGAAGGCCGCAGGCACCCGTTTTGACAGCATCGGGCTGTATGTGACTTGGTTACTCACATAGAGCTGCGCTGATGGCAGCGTGCCAAGCAGGCTTTCCTGAGAGGGAAATGCGCTTTCACATAAGAAAGCGAAGGGCCAGAGGTCCACCCACCTATGAGAAACACACGGATGTCCCAGGGGAAGGCGCCATCGGCGATCTGCTCTGCGAAGCGACGGCATCTTCGGCCCTGCTGAGAGTCGGAGGAGGGTCGTGCCAGGTTCCCGCTGCTGATGACTGGCAGTCCAACCACTATGCCCTCACAACCTGCAGAAGCAGGAATCAGTAGCAAAAGTCGTGAGAGGGAACCTGGTGTGATACGCTGGCCGCTGGAAAAGCACTGACGACGCAATGTATACCCTGACCAGGGATCTCCACTCATTGCAGCCTGTAATAGTCACTCGCCTTCCTTCCTAGCAACAGCAATGACGTCTGTGGCATCCTGCTTGATAAATGCCAGGCCCCTGGCAGATAGTGGCGGCAGGGGGCGCGGGGCTAGACCGTGAGTGGACACCGCCAAGCCAAGATTGCGCCGTCCATAGTCTACGCCCAGACTCCTCGTTGGCAGAGAGCTCATGCGCGGCGCAAGGTGTGGGTCATCGCGCTCGTGTCCGCAGGTCTGTAAGTATCGTGGGACCTCCGCCTCCAATTTTGAGCAGTATGCTTGAGTTCCCGTGTTGGAAAGTGGACAATGATGTCAAGTCTTCTTATAACTCAGTTTACATGTATCTTTAGCTCGCTGCGGACGGTCTTATGCCAGTGGGTGACCTTCGCTGCTGGATAGCGCTCAGCCAGGGTTTCGTCGCGCGCCCTCGGGGCTGGGCTGTTCCGATATACATGTCGCGCCATCCAGTGAAGCGCGCTGTGCTGCAGGAGGATGCAGGTTGTTTCCCCACCCAGCCCCCAGATTCCAGTGATAGAGTCTCTCGAGTCGCTGTGCCCATTATGGGGTCGTAGTCTGTGAAAGAGGTCGCCTCTGCGATGGGGTTGGAGTGGAGCCTGCCTTCGCGTCGGTTTAGGAAGGCCATCGAGGCGGACGATATTCCAGGACTTCGTACAGTGCGTGGGTATTGTAAACCGATTGTGGTGTTGGGAAGAGCCCTGCACGCGCCACGCCGCACGCGGAGTGTAGCCGTCGACATCACCCCGTGAAAACCGTCCTGTGCAGCTCTGCCAGGAGCATCCCGCCGCCTTGCTAGCCATCCGTGCGTCCCGTCTGCGCACCCTCGTCCTCCTGGCCTCTGACAAGGGGTCCGCCCTGACCCTGGAGGTGGTGCTGGACGCCTGCCGGGTGGCTGCCGGGGGTCCCCGGGAGCTCCGGGCGCTTATCGACGTGCCTGACAGCAAGGGAAACAGTGCCCTGGCCCTGGCTGCGAAGAACTGGTGGGCGGGATTCGGGGGTTGGGGGAGTATTTGGGCAGCTGCCCGGGCGGTGAATCATTGGCAGCAGCTGCCTGGAGGTACCTGCCCATCCGTACGTGTCTCTGTCTGATCAGGATTTGCAGTGCATCGATCCAGGGTGCACCAGCCGGGTGGGAACCTGCCTGGCCATAACTCTTCCCCCACCCCACCCCAACAATCACCTCAAGCCCCAACCCCAAGTCCGCAACCCCTCCCCTCCCCAATGCAGCAAGCCCGCCAACGTGGCACTGCTGCTGATGCGCGGCGCCGACCCGCTGACGGTCAACCGATGCGAGGACACCGCGGTGCACGCAGCCGCGCTGTCCGGCTGCTCCCACAGCCTGTCCCTGCTGCTGACGGCGCGCAGCCCCTCAGGCCATGGCCTGGTGGCGGACGCGCAGCTGGTGGGCCGCCACGCCGCTGAGCGCTGCATCGACGCGCCCAACGCCGCGGGGTACGCGCCCCTCCATCTGGCCTGCCTGCACGGCAACCTGGAGGCGGTGAACGTGCTGATCGCACAGGGCGCGGCACTGGCCACGCCGCTGGCCGGCGGCGCGCGCCGTGCGCCGCACTGCCGCCGCTGCGCCGCCGCGGCGGGTGTCCCCTGCGCGGGCTCCACGCCGCTGCACCTGGCGGCGCAGTGCGGCGACGCGGCCGCCTGCGTGGCGCTGCTGGAGGCCTGGCGCCGGCGTGGGCGCGCCGAGGGCGGCGCCGACCTACGCCGCGTGCGCAATGCGGCGGGGCTGACCCCGCTGGTCGCCGCACTCATGGCCGGGCACTTTGGCCTGGCCCGGCTCCTGGTCCAGGGTGGGGGTTCGCTGGCGGGGGAGCACGGCGCGCGCGTGGCCCGCGCTGGTGGAGTCATGGGCCCCGCAGCGCGCGCGCGCCTGGCCGAGCTCCTGCACCGCGTCCAGCTGCTCATGAGCCTGCGTGCGCTGGCCGAGGAGTGCGTGAGCGAGCGCCGCGGCGGTGGCTGGGCCCTGCACGCCGGCCAGGAGGACCCGGACGACGGTGGGGAGGGAGGGGCCGGGAGTGATGGGGCCCGACAAGGGCTGGGAGCGATGGGCAGGACGGCTACGAGGGGTGTGCAATGGGCAAAACGGCCTGGGCGGCACGTGGCATGCAGGGGTGGGCGGGGGCGGGCGCGCAGCCGCCCGCGAGCCTGTGGAGGCCAGGGGCATGCCAACAGGGCATGCCCATGTACTAGCTGCAACCAGGCTTGCAAGTGGTGCGCCGACCCTCCTGGGAGCCCAGTCTGCCCATGGCACTGGAGACTCCCTCCTTCCATGGGGCCCCTCTTTAACCCCTCACCCCCCCCACCAAAAAACAGTATACGCCCAGCTGCTGCGTGTGACCTGGCTGTCCTGCGCCACGACTGCGGACGTGGCGCGGTGCCACAAGCTGCTGGCCGCGCCACGCGGCCAGCTGCGCGATGCGCTCTCCAGCTTCACCGCGCTGCTCAGCGGGCGCGACGTGGCGGCCGCGGGCACGGCGCCGCCGGCCGAGAGCTGGCTGTCGCGCATCTCTGGCGGCTCGGTGGGCCGGCGCGCGCGGCGGCGCGCACGCCGTGCGCGCCGCACCAGCGGCCTGACCCGCGGCATGGGCCCGTTGGACACCGGGTCGCTGGCGCTGGCCGCCTCGCGCGGGTTCGGGGCCCTGGCCGGGCAGCGCGAGGCCGGCGCGGGGGGAGAGGCCGGGCCCGACCCGGCCATCCTCAGCTCCCTGCTGGACTACCTGATGACGCGCAACCCGGGCCCGCTGCTGCTGCCCCGGGCCGCTCTGATCCAGGGCGGCGGCGGCGGCGGCGGCGCGGGCGGCCAGCCGCCGACGGCGCCGCGGGCCGACGAGTGCAGCATCTGCATGGACGCGGCGGCCGACACACGCATACCCACCTGCCTGCACACGCTGTGCCTGGGCTGCGCGGTGCGGCTGGTGGCGGGGAGCGTGGAGAGGCCCATCTGCCCTTTCTGCAGGGCGGACATAGATGGGCTGGAGGGGGTGCGGGCGCGCAAGGCCGTGGATGTGCCCGCGCCTGTGCTCCTGGGGCTGGACCTGCTGGTGACCGGCTGAGGCGGGCGGCGGGGCCTCAGTGCCGGGAGGTCGTTGTGACAGAATCTGCGGTGCCTGAAGCCGGTGGCCGGCGTCACCAGGACCAGCCGCCCTGCTTGTCGGGGACGCTGCGCCTCTGCGGCTCCTGTAACCACGCCGTGGACCCCAGCTGCCTCGCATGTACCAATCTTGTCGCTGGAGGATCACGTGCTCATGCTTGCTATGCTCAGAAACCTTGCATACTTTTTTACTTTGCAGTCCTTTGACGCTGCAGGGCATTGCACATGCATTGGGGGCAGAGAAAGGTGCAAACCCGGGGACTGGTCTGAGTACAAAGAAATACCCCGTCACATGTACCCAATGCCTTGCTCGTAGTAGGACTGCCCAGTCTTGACGAAGGGAAAGGGCAGTTCTTGTGTAGCCTTCTTGAAGGCAAGGAATGGCTCCGAGACGTGGTGGACTTCTGTCAGATCCTTCTTGGTAGCATACCTGCACCATGGGGAGTAGGGGAAGATATACTGGACTCCTGTGAGTTGTAAGGTCTCTGCAATGCCGTGCAATAGGCCCTTCGAGGGTGATGCGACTCACGGCAAAACCTCAAGGGCAAGGAGACTGTATCCCATGTGGGCCCCCCACCGCACCTCTCGTGGATGAGCACCAGTGTGGGGTCTGTATCGGCGATGGCCAGGTCATAGGAGAGGGTCCGGGGCTCATGCTCCGCAACGTACTTGGCCAGGGGTCTGAACAGGTCGATGAAGATATCGCGATCTGCTTCACTCTCGAACTTCACCTGGATGGCGAGCACGAACACCTGCACAGGTATCGGCAGTGCGCTGCTGGGTGGCTTGCTCGTGAGGCTTGCCGACCCTGGTTTTCATGACATTTCTACACAGGGTTACGATCCTGTGACGCAATCTCACCCCTTTCTGGCCACGCCGGCGTCTTTGATGCCATTTCCCTGCAATGAACGCAGCTCCTGTTATTCCAAGGAGTTTCACGGCTTCGCCGAGGTGAACTCCCGCAGACATCTTCGAGGTGATTGTGATTCAAGGAGACGCTTCTCCAATACTCAGGAGATCTGTTGGGGTCTTCGTACTGATACACCTTTTGGATGAAAAGGGGGCGACATTTACAGTTGCCAGTTCCGTGATGACAAATCTTGCAGGTGGGGAGATCTCCGGCACTCGCCCGCCGGAGCCGGAAAAGATTTGCCTTTCCTCTGCGTACATGGGAGCCCTTCAATCTCACATAATTGCTGTTGGACAGGAAGGAGATCCAAGCCATTCTAGAGCCAGTTATGCTACAGCAGGACGAGTACAAGGGTTGATGGAATGGCATCGACAGGGCTTACTGGAATGCCGACAGGAGGGATTATAGCGAGCCGTACTTATGCATGGGCAGGAGCTCAGACACCCTTTCTGCTATAGCAGACTCAGGTGCAGGCGGTCTGGAACTATGCTCTGGACCAATTTGCTGGCTCTCAGCTGGCGGCGCTAGAGGATGTCTGTCGTGGGCACCTTCTAAGTGCAGGGAGTTCTCGGCGCCCCTTGCGGCCTTGTAGAAGCTGTGGAGCTGCATCTGGGACACGGCCATTCGCTCCTCTGCACCCCAGCCCACGTCCATGACGTCCCCCACTGGCTGCATGGGGTGGAGGCGGAAGCGGCTGGTGCTGCCGCCGAGCACTCCGCTGGAAGCGCCGAGGGGAGGAAGGATTCGACTTCCAGCTGCCGCCCATCCTCCAGCAGCGGGCGCTGCGCCCACCGCCTGCACGAGCGCTTGGCCAGGCGCTGGCGGCTCCCACGTGGGATAGGCGGCCGCGAAGGAAAGGAAAGACTTTTCAAGTTTTCCCTGATGACTCCTCGCGGCCTGAGGGCATTGGGTGATGTCCCGGGAAGGGTGTGTGTCGGTGCAACTGCATGTGCCACCTCGTCACAGCAAGAATGAACATGCATGGTCACCCTGTTGGGTCCCCCCCCCTAGATTCAGCCAAATGACTCCACAGACCTTGGGTGCCTCTACAGGTGAGCCATAGCGTCTGTTGCCGTGTCGCTCCAGGTCAAATGCTGAGAATGAGCACACGTCCCCAATGCCATCCACGTGCACAGTGTTCTGCTCTACAAACGTCAGTATGGCTCCTGCAAGGCAAGGGAAGAGTGTAGAGTTGGCAAACTCATGAGCGTCACGTCCTGTGTAGATCGAATCAAAGGGTGTTCCAGGTGCCTGCAAGTGAGCGTGCACGTTCTCAGAAGGCCCGAAATTGTTCGACCACATCTCCCTGGCACCACCCAGGACAGACCCTCACCAGCACAGCCGGGCAGCGAGAAGTAGAGGAGCAGGGGAGTGAGAAGGATGGATGCCATCTCCTCAAAGAAGAGCACTGCCTTGAACTGGAACAGGCCTTGAAACGCCTCCTGTACCTCCAGCGTGTGAGCCCTGAGTGATTGGCAGAGATATTAGTCAGGGGTACGAGAGCCTGACGCCAACCAACAGTAAGCTACGGCCCGCCGGCTGGTGCCTTGCTTCTGTGCATTGGCTGAGGAGGGGCCACAGGGCCACTGCGGCACAAGATGCACGCCATGGTACACCACACTCGAGAGCCCGCCCCCCCCCCCTCCCTGCCACCCACCTCCCTCTCCAGTGGCGGGGCAGGTAGTGGGTGTGCGTCACCACCTCCGTCAGGGCCGCCTCTGGGTCGAACGCAGTGGTGCTTTCCACAATGAACGCCCGCGACGCTGCCAGAACGATGCCCAGCAGCGCCAACCACCTGAGGTTACGGAGTGCGGGTGTGGCTGACCAGCGCGCGGGGTGCACGTAAAGCACATGGCTGGACCAAGGCCCCTGAAGCACACTGTGCAAGCGCAGGCGCTTGACACTGGGCCGCCTCCTCACCAAACAACGTGCCGACCCAGGAGGTCCCGCTCCAGCAACCGCCCGTCCACCAGGGTCAGCAGGAGTAGGAGGGCAGCAAAGGAGCCGGCCACAAACGCCACAAAGCGAGCCACGTGGCTGTGTGGAGGGGGAAGGGGGGGGGGGAAAAGGCAGAGTCAAGCACCTCTCTTGGGCAATTTCCACGAGATGCGCTGCCCGCCTGTAACCCTGCCGAGCGTTACGGCAAGAACCAGCCTTAAAAACAGCACCCCAGCACGCAGTCAAGCGCACACCTGATGGCGGGCAGCGGGAATTGCGATATGTACTTCTCAGCTGCTTCGTTGCTGGCATTCAACCTGTCGGGCAGGAACTTCATGGAAATGGTTTGAGACAGGAACAGATGGAGCGATCGACAATCACAAAGGTAGCAGCACATGCTGTGGTCCGTTCTTGCCCCACCCATCCCTTTTGCCCACGGACCGACCTGTGGTTCAGAAAGTGCGGGAGCTCATTGAACTCCCGCAGCTTCCACTTGGCGAGCGGCGACCAGTACCGCGCCCCTATATATGGGGAGGAATGGGACAGGGTCGTGTAGACAAATAAATCTTCGCACACCTGCGCAGACCATCCCACTCATGGCAGGGGCAAGTGCCTCAAAGGGCAGCGCATCACAGCATGGCTGCCCGGTGCAGCGACCGATGCACTCCTCCCCCAGGCACCCTGCCACCCACCCAGGGAGGAGGGGTGGTGGTAAAACTGCTCGGCCTTCTTCATGAAAAAGTACATCAGCAGGAAGGCCAGGAGGAAGGGCGACATGAGCAGATTCAAGCCGGCCATGACCCTGGCAGAGGATGAGATGGGTGTGATGTGGGCGTCCATTGTCATCTGGTGCCAGCCATGCACCGCCGCAGCATCCCTGTCTGATCATTGTCTGGCATGCTGCACTGCATGCCATACCATAACAAATACGACCACGCGACCGCTCCCTGCTTCAAGCACAGCCACGGGAATAGCATGCATGCCTTCCCATCACCAAAGTTGCAGCGCCATGCTCACTGGAATCGTTTCTGGAGCGCCGCTCTGTCATGTAGGAATTCAGCCTTTATCCTGAAGTTGTCATCAAACATGGCATCCAGCACGCACCTGCCAGCCGGGGGCAAGGGAGGAAGTTGACGGGCATGGGTGTCCGGGCATGACCACAAGATCTCGACGCTGGGTGCATTGTTTGCGCCGACCAGGTTCCATTCCAGGCGCAGCAGGCGACCTCCCATGCAGACCTCCCCCTTGCCCTCCTCAAAAAGCCCCCACCCACCAGTACAGGTTCCACTCCAGCGTCTTGGTGAGCAGGAAGCGCGGCCTGGCCCCCATGACGGGCGCGTTCAGGGCGAGGACCCCCAGGTTGAGCATGCCTATCAGGTAGTTTTCGCGGCGCATGATGCGCGACACAATGTCGTGCTCGCTGAGGTCGCGGGACGCGCACAGGCGGGTGGTTCGCTGGACCTGCATCAAGGGAGTTGGGGGGGGGAGCTCCCAGGATGGCAGGCACGCTCCCGCAGCGTCCTGGAAACCCAGGCAGCGATCGATGCGGAACCGAGCCCCCCCAGAGGGTTTGCCTTCGACACAAGCATGGCGGTGCCACGAATGCAACGCCCCCAGTCGCCCAACCCCCTGAGCAGCACCCGATCCCACCTGCACCAGGCGGTGCAGGACCTCTGGCCAGGTGATAGTCTTGATGCGGCGCTCCGAGATGCCCAGCTTCTGGTTGAAAAAGTGCTGGATCTCGGCCAGACCACGCACCTCCATGACCAAGTGAGCCTGCACGAGGGGTGGGGGATGCCAGGGAACGAGGGCCAGATCGCCCCTTGCCATGCGGCGGTAATAAGATGTCACCGACATGTCCAGTCCCCTCACTTCATGACAGTATCAAGGAGACGCTCAGCTGCCACGATGCCCCCGCCCTCATGTCCACAACCCACCAGGGCCAGGACGCAGTAGACTGAACAGATGACCAGGTACAGCAGGCTGAGCAGGTTCCAGACCGTGAGCCCGTCCTCCAGTGGATGCTTTTTTATCATGACCTGGGGCGACACCGGGAGGGCAGCGTGAGCATTTCGACCAGTATGCTCGTCGAGGGACGACGCCAGGCACGCATGTGATCAAGGCGCCTGCCCAGCTCCAAACCTCCTTCCCTTAGTGATGAGCCAGCACTACTCCTCGCTCCCCAAACATGACCACTCCTCAGCACGTCACAGTCCCCACGGTCTACAACCTCACCGTCCATATGTCACAACTATCCTTCTTCAGGCACTCCTCCTGGAGACCGCTGTAGTTGACCCCCAGCAGGAGGGCTCCAGAGATGACGACGGTGAAGTCCAGGGCGAGGAGGTTCAGCACCTGGGCGATGGTGCAGACCCAGAATCCCTTCTCCTCCCAGTACCTGCGCCGCAGCGGAGGATACTCAGTATTGAACGCAAGCTCTGGGTCGCCCGGACGTGGGCGCAAGGCCTCCAACTCACCGATATACACGAGTGAAGAAGTGATCCAAGTTGGGCACAACCTCCCAGTCGAAGCTTTCGCTGTCCAGCAGCTGCTCATGGGTGTCATTGCGAGCATAGAGCCTCCCACCGGTCGTCCTGTGAGGCGAGAGGGTGGGAGTCTCAGCTCAGACGCAAACCCCGACCATGATTTGACGCTCACGGGTCCGCTCGAGCCTACCCGATGGGCTCATCTTCGTCGTCGGGAAAGTCCATTTCACCGGGCCATGGTCGAAACTCAACTTGTCAAAATATTACTTGTTGACCTGTCGGGCGAGGGGACGACGAAACCCATGTAAGATGTCCCTCGCCCTCGGCCAGCTGACACGGGCTCGGCCCGGTTCGGACAGGGAAGGGGGGAGGGGAATGATCTCGTCATCTACAATGCACACCAGTGGAGGTGTACAAAGGTGGAGATAAGCATCTTATCGCATTACCATATACCCTACATATGTGCATAGCATAGCCAGCTTATCTGGCATTTTCTGCCCTCCATCCTAGGCAGGTAATTCTGTTGTCGCACCCTTTGCCACTACATGCGTACACGAAGTCTGCTCGCGGAGATCAAGGTTGCTTTCTAACACCACTCAGAAACACAAAGGTTATTGCATACAGCACCAGGAGGCTTTCGACTGAGGAGGGACAGAGGATGTGTTGCTTCTGCGCTTGGATGATATTGTCACAGATGGTTGCCAGTCATACATTCTCAAACAGTAGCCTGCCCCCTTGATAGATCCTTTGGAATTGATACTCTCCACAGAGCTGCTGCTAGTTCTTTGAGGCGTCGAGGCGGGAAGGTGAGTCGAGCTCCTGAAGGACGACTTCCTACTCCCCTGGCTGGGCGGATTATCCAGCTGTCCTAGCTCACGGCGGCCATTGCAAGGGGGCCGCAACGGCTGCGCGCACCTTGTGCGACGGTGGCCAGCATCAATGGGAAGTCCGAAGGACCCTGTCTCCGGTTTATCTTGGCGCTTGTCTCCGTTGGCCATGCCAGCTGGTCCAGCAGTGGAGCTGGATCCGGATGTGCTGCAGCCGCCTGTCATTCCATGCGGCGAGTCTTCTGTTCGAGGCGACCGCGTCCAGGAGTCTTCATGCTTGCCAGGCTTGAAGAACTCGTTTTCATTACCGAGCCAGGATACCCTTGGCATGCGGCAATCGGATGCGCAGTTCGCGACGCTGAGCGCGCGCCGGGCACGCACGGAAACGTTGCTCTTCGCCACCAGAACCCTGCCTACTCCCAAACGTGACACGAAGTATCGCGAGGAAGGCGAATTACTGCACGCTCATGACCGAGTTACCTTGCTGTAGGTTACCGATGATGCATGAACATTTGCTCGCAAAAATGCTCTAAAGATTCCGTACGGATCGATGCTCGTCGGCAGCCTACTGCTGTCGTAGCAGGACCTGAATGGCAACGACCTATTGGATTCTATCTCGTACCCGAGGAATCATGAACTGCATCGAACACAATCTATGTCGATAGTCGGGGACATGGCGTCAAGGGAGCATGCCCGCTCCCTGCCAGAGGGAGGGAGGGATCACAGTCAAGTAGCACGTCGCAGGTCATATGCACCCTCCGGGAGCACCATGCTCGAGAAAGGCCAGCAGGGCGTTCACACCGTCCGATTCCAAACACCCTTGTCGATACTCAGTCCCAGTACTTGATGAGCCCATCCCAGCCGCAAGTGGCCACCCGCGATGTCTCCAGCGGATGCCAGGCAGAACCTATGCACACGCCCTCATGCGCCTTGATGGTGCGGGCTATCTTCTTGGTCTTCCAGTCCCACATGAAGAGCTTGCCCTCGCCATCTCCAGACGTCACGTACCGGCTGTCTGGTGAGAAGCTCACCTCACACGCATACCCTGGCAGAGGAGGAAAGGGGGGGGGGAAATGAGATGCAGGCCCTCCATGCTTCTAGGAATACTTGCCTATGATTTGTTCATCCATACTTCAAGGACATTTCTGAACTTAACCGTTTCCATTCCACACAGCGCGTGGTGATAGGGAAGAGCCACGCCAACGGACCACTGAATTAGCAAAGGGCATGGCAGTATCCTGCCAGAATATGCCCGCGACACTTACCTGCAACATTGTGCCCGGCAAACGTCTTCTTGGTGTTGGGCTTCACACGGTCGGTTGCGCTGTATGTAACAACTGTAAAGGTAGAAAGGGCGTTTGGGAAACTGATCAGAATGACCACCAGAGGGCGACAGACCACTGGCAGGGCGGGAAGGTCCAACACCAGCACGCTTGTCTCAGCACCTCCACACACCGGCACCACCTCCATGCATGCATTTGACTCCCCCTCGCAACTGCTCAACGGACCACCCACTGCCCAGACCCACGCACTCTTGTTGTCCATCGACTGGCCACACCACCACTTCTTGTTCGGGGTGACACTCACGGCCGAGATGGCGTGCATGGCAGGGTCGGCGATATATTTTATTTGCACGGGAATGCCAAACTCCCAGACCTGCATGGCAAAAGTGTGTGAGGGGGATGGGGGTTGCGTGTAAGCTTGCCTTGTGACGACAGAGAGGCCAAAGGGCAAGCCACAGCACCATGCGCACAGGCAGTTGTTGTCCTGACCACAGCGCTGGGACTCGTGGCTGCTGTTCTTTCCATTTCTCCCCACCAGCCCCTCACCCTGATGGTCTTGTCATCGGAGGTGGAGACAAAGCGTCGCCCCTCATCGATGAAGGTCACCGTGTTCACCGCGCCCAAGTGGTAATCATAGCTCTGCAAGCATGTGGCCGCGGGAGCTCAGCTCGGAAAGATGCAGCATCAGTTGCGACTATCGAGCGACTGGCGGTCGAGGCCGTTTCTGAGACCAACTGCACACCTCAAAGTATGCCAGTGACAAAAGCCGGGCTCGTCATCAAGCCACCCAGACACACACCGCCTGCGCCAGCAAGCAGCCAGGCCTCACCTGCACGACGTCCCCAGTGTCGGTATCCATCTGCAGGATCTTCTTGTCCGCCATTCCCGCCATGAGCATGTTTTGCTTGTCATCGTCTGGATGGAAGCGGACGGTGTATGCCATCTTGCCCTCCCCATACTTGCTGCAAGGGGGAAGCAGGGGTGACGGGAATGGGTGGAGGAGGCTTGTGATGGAGAGTGAGGATCGTGGTCCGCAGGGTATATGGAATAGCAGCCACACAGCCGACAGAGGCTGAAAAATCTCCCCCAAAACTAGGAGGAAGCTTGCACAGCCCAAACCTGTCCCGCATACGCAATTCCCCCTCCCTGAACTCCATGAAAAACACCCCCGGGTACCTACCCAAGGACTGCGCCCGTCTCGGAGTCCCACAGCCGAATGACCTTGTCGTATCCCGTGGTGACAAACTTGCGGCCGTCATTGGAGAACCAGGCATCGCGGACACCCTGCAAGAATAGAGACGTTCGATGGTGGTGGTGAGGAGGGCCTGATACAGGACCTGACCCTGCCTCCGGTGCAGGAAAGGGCGCTGCGACTCCCACCACCTAACCGAGCGCCTCCGGCAAATGCAGGAAGGCGCCAGCGGTGCTGTCCTATTGGCACTGGGTGTGGTCCCAGGACAACAAGCAGAGGATGCTATGCTGTTGAGACCACAAAACCTGACAATGCCAGCCTGCAGTTGCTCCCCCATGCCTGCGTGTTGCCCCACCTTGGTGTGCCCAAGATAGGTCCGCAGGCACTTGCGCTGGTTGTGCACATCCCACATCTTGACCTTGCCATCCAGGCCGGCAGACAGGAGAAGGTGGCCAGTGCTTGGAAAGAACCTGCATTGCGGTATGGGCATGTGGCATGGTGACGAGCGCAGCCAGTCTGCAGCTGGCAAAGCTGCAGTGGGCAGGGCGGGCGCAATGGTGGTACGCCGGGCCCCCTAGATATCACAAAACATCTTCAGAGGACAGTCGCCAGCACCTGATGGCATTGACGCCCTTTGTGTGGCCCGACCAGGTGTGGAGGTGCTTCTTGGGGAGGAAGGAGGTGGCACTGTCGTCCCGCAGGTCCCGAGGAGCCTCCAGCCAAGAGCGGCCTACGATGCGCGCATGGGGGGCGGGTGGCTGGGTGAGGAATGGGAGCATGTGAGCAGGGCCCTCGGTGTATGGAGATGCATGTGCTAGCGTTGGACGCCAGACAACCCATAACGGCTGCACCGACAGACCCCCTGGCCCCACAGAACATGCACGAACGTCTCAGCAGCCAAACCCACCCACCCTGGTAGTCCTCGAGAGCTTTGCCGTGGAAGATGGAGGTCTCCCCTTTGCCAGACCCTGCGTCCTTCTCTGCCTTCTCCTCCTGTGCCTGCAGGTGTCCATGGACCAGTGAGGCACGCTGGCAAAGCAGATTTGGGACGTACGAGCCCTGTCTGTGACTGGCAGCCGCACTACAGAGGCCCATGCCAGGCTACAACTCCACTCCCTGCCGCCGCCAGACCACTCTGGGCTCGAGTGCAGGCAGTACACCCACGCAGATACTGTCCACACCTCAAACCCTCACCTTCTCCAGGTATGCCCGATGCTCCTCGGTCAGCTCCTGCTCTGGGAAAGCGGCCTTCTCCGCCCAGGGTTGCCGTGTACGCAGAGTGAAAGGCTGCGTCAGATCCACCGGCGCGGGGGCCACCTTGCTCTGCTGCGTGCGCTGCCGCTTCTGCTGGGGCTGAGTGGGCGGCGCGCCCACCCCCGGCCCCAGTGAGATGGCCACAGGACGGGAGGGGTCCATCGCCACCCCGTCGCTGCATGGAATCCAGGGGGGGAGAGTATGCAGTTTAATACGAAAAGATGTGGCTGTGCCTCCAGCAGAGCCACTCCTCCGATCTGATGCCGTGCAGCCTGTGACGCACCCAGAGGCTGGGAAGACTGCAGGTCCTCTGCCACACACCACAAAAGGTCACACATGCCTGCCAACACTTCAAGCAACCTGGCATCCACGCCCCTTCCAACTTTCTTACAACCGCAACCCCCACCCCCTGGCAGCCCGACCTGTGGAACGAGTTGTACTGCTCGTCAAAGGCGTAGGACGAGAGGTGGGAGTCCTCCACATGCCCCGTTCGGTGGTTGCTCAGCCCGCCATCTGCCTTGCGGCCTGAAGGGTGCGTGGGGCCCTGCACCGGAGCATGCATCTGGTCTGCGGGCAGATTGTACCGGATCATACGGGTGTTGGCCCCCTGGAAGAACTTGGTGTCCTCCTGGCTGACCAGCTTGCTCTCCACAAGCGCGTACCCACTCGCATCCACCTGGGAGGAGGCGTAGATGCCGTTGGAGATGCAACTCGAGAGAGGGAAGTGTCTCGCATGGCATGTGCCGCACCTCACCTCTGGTGCAGCGGAAACAACTGCCAGTGCTGCGGTGCCGTCCCCGGAGCGGGAAGGGGAGGGGGCCCCATCATCGCTGCGAGATATTGAATGAGCATTTGTTGAGGTAAAGCGTGGTAAGATGAGCTTATCCAGCAGAGCTCATACACCGAGACCCACCTGTAAGCGCCGATGAGGTCCATCGGCCAGGGGTGGCCCTGAGAACTAGCAGCGAAACTTTAGCTTGTGAACGGCATCTCCTTGGGATAATGCAGCTAGAGATGGCCAAGTCACAGCACTCGCGATCCCGGTGGATCGTCGGTAAGCTGAGCTCCATCTGCACCTCGTCTCGCAACCTGGAAGAACGCGCGCGCGCGGTGGTCCGTGCATTGCGATCTAGATCGTTGCTCATTGTAGCTCAGCACCACTCTGGTGATCGCGAATGTGATGGGAAATTAAACCCGCTTTCCCAGCTTCTGCGCATGCGTGTAATGTACTCCCACATGTCGGCGGCATCCTATACGCTGAAACCCCTCCCCAACTTTGGAGCAGAGGTGCGGTATGCATGTAGGTAATGAAGTCGCTTCAGCAGGCATGCCGCAGCAATATCTAAAATTACCATACTCAAGAAGATCCATGTCCATTTCCATAGGTTTTTGGATTGCAGTTGAGAGACTCCGTGCCCGGTCCGGTTGTGCAGAGAATCAAAGATGACGTTTCCAGGTGATGAGTGTGTGTGGGGTTGTGTACTTCTGAGGAGAACACCCAGAAGTTCCACCATTGCCCTGTAGTTGGTATGACCACACTCTTCTATTCCTGCCAACGCTAACCTACCCCATGCACAGGCACCGCCTGCTGATTTTCCGCGACCAAGGCATCATCAGCGGACCCCGGCAGGCGGAGATTGGGGGCTGGTTTGGCGATTTGGAGAGCACCTTCCGGAAGCATCCGAGGTCGCCGCACCCGGATGTCTTCCGCGTCTCCAATGACCCCGCCGAGGGCTGCATCGGTGAGACTGTCTGGCCAGCTCTGGCGCGATGTGCTGGCGTGCCAGCAATCTGATCGGGGGCCGGAAGCATCTGTGTTCCTGCATCTCTACACACCCGTGTTTATGCCCTGATGTCATGGCGGTCATCCCGGTACATCCAGGTCCTTTGCTATGCGCTTGTATGTGCACCACACCGCATCCACCACCGTGCATGCAGGCGTCGGCCGTGAGGGGTGGCACATCGACGGCTCCTTCCAGCCTGCCCCCTTTTCTCACAGCCTGTACCACATCATCGACGTGCCGTCACGGGTGAGTCGCTGTGTCAGAACCAAGGACTGTGCAGCAAGTGTGGCTCGCCTGCCTCCGCTGATGCGAGGGTCAGGGTCACAGATTGGGCCGTGCCTCCCTCCTCCTGCCTCACATAAGCCAGTCATGTCCCCCTCCCCCACTCTCGCTCTTTCATCCCAGGGCGCCACTCGCTTCGTGGCCCTGACCGAGCTGCTGTCCAGCCTTCCTGTCGACCAGCTGGCACACTGGCGTCGCTTGTCCATGCGCAGCGACCGCCGCGATCAGGCCCTGAAGCCGCTGGTGTATGTGCACCCCGGCACCGGCCACCCCACCATGTGCTTCCACACGGGCATGACGGCAGCATACGTGGAGGATGCAGGGAGCGAGCGGGAGCGGACCCTGCCCGCCCAGCCCCTGAACCGCGAGATAGAGGCCGCCATCGAGGCACAGCCCGTGTACGACCACTGCTGGCGGGCGGGGGACTTCCTCATCGCGGACAACCTGGCGTTGGGGCACGAGGCCTCGCCCGACACCCAGTGCCCCGTCAGCGAGGTGGGGCTTCGGGTCATGCACCGCTCCACGGTGAAGGGGACGCATGCGCCCACATGAGGGTCCCGAGGGGGCTGTGATGTGCAGAGCGCAGGCATGTGTGCCTGGCGGCCTTGTGTGTGCAGACGAGATGCAACTGGGGGGCGGTGACAGAGCTTCAGCACAGCAGATTCCACGATGGTTTGTAAGAGAGTTTGCTAGACAGGCATCACCACACAAAGCAGTCGGAGATGGCACAGGCAAGGTACTGGCCCTCCATGTGTCGGGGAGGTGTGCCCTCTGCAAACTCCATATGAAATGCCGCGCTCCCACCCCAGCCTTGTCAGGTGCTTCCTGGCTCTGCTCTCCAAGACACCTGACGTGCATGGCCCGGAAGCCAGACGGGCCGCAATTTGAAACACCTGCTGCACGCGTGGAGCGCAACCTAGTCCTCACCATGCAGAGCGGGCCGGAGGGCACGCAGCATGGCCCTCGTCCTCTTCTCCAGAGGGAGGGTCTGGATCCTGGGGAGGATCTGCCAACCAATCGCAAGCGCCTCCTGCACGTTGAAAGCAGGGGATGGCAATTGTGTTGGCTCTGACACTGCAGGGCGCCCCTGTGGGGACCAGGGCAAGGTGGTGCCAGGACCTGGTGCGGAGGGACAACATGCGCAGCAATGTGCACTCCCCACCCCCATCTCCCAGATGCAGGCTGACCCAGAGCCCCCTTCACCTCCAGGCTCTGGAGCGGAGCACCCCTGGCAAGCTTGGCAAGGCGCGCAGTGGCCTTCTCCGCCACCGCCGCTCGGCGAGGGGAGACTGGCGGGTCGTATGCCGCGTCGTCGCATTGCTGGACCAGATCTTGGGGTGGCGCTGCGTCCGTACCCTCTGCCCCTGGAGGCTGGGCGGGGCCAGGAGTTTCCAGCGGCTGCATGGGTGACGCTGCGCCCCCCTGCTTGCCCAGGACGTCTGCCCCAGCCCTCCGATCCGCCTCCTCCTGACGCAGGCGCTGCCGGATGGCTCGCCGTGCCGCCTCTGGGTCTGCGGTGTGGGAAAGATTGGTGGCTTTGGTGCTCCCAGGTGCGGACAGAGCCCGCCCTGACAGCGCCCATTCGGCACAAGAGCCTCCTCCCCGGACTCACGCACCTTGATGTATTGCCTCCAGCGACGCATCCCCCGTCCCTGGGGTGGTGGTGAGGCGGGTGCTGCGCCGGGAGGTGGGCGCCCTTCCCTCGGGCCCCTCGTCCTCCTTAACCTCCACATCAATCCTGCGGCCGCCTGCGTAGCGGGGTGGGTCCACGCTTAGATCACTCGGTCGTCGGTTGTAATGTATCAGAGACGATGCGTTCCAGTTCAGCTTTGGGTGATCCGTCCCTCACACACATGAAGGTTCCTAACCCCTCACCCCATTCTACTGCCCCTCGCCTCCACCCCTCACCCTGCCCCAGGGGCGGCGCGGGGGCGGGCCCCCCTGCCTCGGCGATGGCCTCCAGGCCGGCGCAGAGGTCCGATCTCGCTGCCAGCGCTGCCGCCAGCGCCTCGCGCAGCTCGTCCTCCAGCGCGCAGGCGCGGCTGACGGCGCGCGCGCCGCGCGGGCTGTCGCCCCAGTATGCGCGCTCCGCGTCGGGCAGCAGCGCCACGTCGGCGAGGTAGCGCCCCGGCGTCGCGTAACGCCCTGCGTCCACGCGCGCCAGGAGCGTGGACAGGTCCATGGGCCGCGGCACGCGCGCGGCGTAGTCCGGGTCCTCCTCGGCCGTCACCGGCTCGGCGAAGGCCTGCCAGCGGCGGCTGGACAGTGCGCGCGTGGTGACGTCGCGTAGGACCATGCGCAGGCCGCGCAGCGTCGCCTGGTCCGTCTCATACCTTTTTTGGGGGCACGAGAGGGGGGGGGACACGTTCCGACATGTGAAATCTGGCGGATAGGGCAGCGGTGGGGGACGATCCATGCTTCCGTGCGGCTACTCAAGAAGACCCCTCTCCCTCCCTTCATCTATTCGACCACTCCCCCCCCCCCAAACACACACACACATGACGCCGACCTTGCCCTGGCGGCGGCGCCCTCCCTCTCCCGCCGGACCCGCTGGGCGGCCTCCAGCGCCGCGGGGTCGCGGCGCAGGGGCGGCGGGACCGGCGCGGGCCCCGGCGCCGCGCGCCGCGCCTCCGGCTCGCGGGCCAGCGCCTCGGCCAGGCCGCGGAAGAATGCGCGGCGCGCAGCCCTGCCCGCCGGCCCCAGCTCGACGCGCACGCAGCCCGCGCCCGCGAACAGCTCCGCCAGGCCCGGGTCCAGGTCCTCCCACCCGGCCTCCGCGCTGGCCAGCAGCAGCACCGCCTCCTCCCCGCCCAGGTCGTCCAGCAGGTGGGTCAGCGCGGCGCGCGCCAGCCCGCCGGCGCAAGCCCACCACGCGTCGGCGTGGGGCAGGTGCAGCACGGCGGGTGCGCCGCGGCGCGCCTCCGCCAGACCACGCACCAGCGCCTCCTCCACCCCGCGCGCGCCTGGGTCGGCTAGCAGCGCCGGCAGGCCCAGCGCGCAGAGCGCGAGGCCTTCCGCGCCGTGCAGCAGCGCGCGGGCCAGCACACCCTGCCCGCACCGCGGCGCGCCGCACAGCAGCACGCGCGGGCGCGGCATGGGCAGAGGGGGGGCCGAGGGGGGGCCGGCGCCTGGAGGGTCGGCGCCGGAGGGGCCGGCGCCGGGCGCGCGACGCACGAAGGGCGGGAACAGCGCCGCAACGGAGGCCCGCGCCGCATCCAGTTGGACCCGCAGCAGCGGCGCCAGGTGCGCCGGCAGCGGCCTGTGCTTGTAGGCGGTGGGTGTGTGTGTGTTGTGGTGTCATCGTGTGTGTGTGTGTGTGGAGTCCTGGCGTGTCGGCGCCGGTCTGCGGCAGAGCGAGCGCCGTGCAAGCATGCTCCAATGTCTGGCCCCTGCCGGCACGAGACTGAGATCGCCAGGCAAGCACCGCAGGCCAACACTCTCCTTCCACCCTTCCCCCGCCCCCACCCTCCCTGCAACAGCGTCTCAACCCCGACACATCCCGGTGCACCGAACCCCTCACCTGGCCACGGCCTCCACGGCTGCACGGTGCGAGGCGGGCGTAAGCCCACGCAGCGCGGCCTGGAAGTCCGCGCGCTCCACACGCACCGCCTGCAGGTCCAGCACCAGGCGGTCCTGTGTGTCGTAGACCTGCGGGTACCGCCGCCGCAGCGCGGCCAGGCTGGCCTCCGTGCACAGTGCCTTGAGGTCCGCGCCGCCGTACCCCACCGTCTCGGCGGCCAGCTCGGCCAGCAGGGCGGCGGGCGGCGGCTCCGCCCACCGCCGCGTGTGGATGCCCAGGATCTCGGCCCGCGCCTCCAGCGCGGGCAGCGGGAACAGGAGCTCCCTGTCAAACCTGCAGCGGGGGAGGGAATGGGTGTTGGGCGGCGGCATGAGTGTGCCGGCCGCTCAGTCGGCCATGTGAGGGGGGCCTTGCGCTGGCAGCATGGGCGGCGGGTGGGCATTGATACGCCTGTTGCGGCATTCTGCAGTCTGGCCAGGCGTTGATGAGGGCCGATGCAGCATGGGGATGCCCTTCCCACCCCTCCTATGTCTCCGCCCTCCCCCTGCCCACCCCACAACGCCCCCCACCCCCCTAACACGCCGCCCCACCTGCCGGGCCTGCGCAGGGCGCCGTCCACCGCATCCACGCGATTTGTGGCCCCGATGACGACCACCTGGCCGCGCGCGTCAAGGCCGTCCATGAGCGCCAGCAGCGTGCTCACGATGCTGTTGTGGATCTGGTCCTGCTTGCTGCTGCGCACCTGCTCGGGTTGGTGAAGGGGGAGGGGGGCTGGGTCTGCTTGGGCTCCCCATCGTCACAATGGGGGGTCACCAGGTGGGAGGACAGTGGTCCGAGTCTGGAGGGAGCATGCATGCAGCCGGCCGCCCTCGTGCCCGCGACCGGCCCGCGACCACACCCACGTCCGCCCCGGGGGCCCCCCCCATTCCCCCCCCGCCGCACCGGCGCCAGGCCATCGATCTCGTCGAAGAAGATGATGGAGGGCTGGTGGCGGCGCGCCTCGTCAAACAGCGCACGGAGCTGGCGCTCCGCCTCGCCCACCCACTTGCTCAGGATGTCGGCGCCCTTGCGCATGAAGAAGGCGACGCGCCGCCCGCTGCTCGCCGCGGCGTGGGAGGCCAGGGCCCGGGCCACGAGCGTCTTGCCCGTGCCGGGTGGGCCGTGGAAGAGCACGCCCCGCGGCGGCGCTATGTGGAAGCGCTGGAAGAGGTCGGGGTACACCAGCGGCAGGAACACCATCTCCTTGAGCAGGCGGAGGTACCCGTCAAGGCCGCCCACGCTGTCAAAGCTCACCGAGGGGTCCACCTGGATGGGCGCGATCTCAGCCCCCGACAAGCCGGCGCCGAGCGGGCCGGGGCCCGAGCGCCGCGCCGCCGAGGTGGCCAGGTCCAGCGGGGTGTCGGCAGGGCGGGGCGCCCCCCAGGCGCCGGGGAAAGGGCGGTCGGGTGGGTCCTCCGGGAGGCCACCGGGCCGGGCCGCCAGGCGCTGGGGCATGTCGACCGTTCCCAGCACGTCCTCGGCATCTTCCACGCCACGGCGGTGCCGTTCGTGCCCGCCCATGCCCGGCCCGCCGACAGCGCCACGCTTGTGTCGTCTGGCGGGGCGCCTGCCGCTCCCAGACCTGGGGAAGGGGGGGGGGGGGCGGGCGTGGGCGCGCCAGAGTGGCCCACGCACAGAAGTGCACACTGTGCAGATTCCGGCCCCCCGCAGCCCAAGGGGCCGGCCCTGCGCCTCTCACCCTGGCCTGGGGACCTGCTGATCCTCGGCGGTGCGGTTGATGGTGACCAGGGTCCTGTCGCGGAAGGGGTAGGTCCGCCTCTCGGGCTCCCCTGACTGTTCAACAGGCTCAGCTCCACCGTCTCCTTGGGGAGAGGACGCCTGGGGGCCAGGATGGGCGGCCGGTGTGGGTGGCTGGGTCGCATGTTTGAGCCTCAGTAGGCACGATGCATCAGTCATCCCACAACCGCAAGCGATGATAGCCCAAATCCCGCCTTCTCCCTCATCCCCCCGTACAGGGTGCTGCACCCACCCTCACTACAGGGCTCTGGGCGCCGGGGTCCCGGGCTCCGGTGGCCTGACCGGGACCGGTGCTGGGTGTCGCCACCGCTTCATAGCGCTCCACCCCCGCGCGAACGCGGACCGAGTACCTCTCCGCAAAGTGGTGCGAAGGTGGCGCGGGGGGCCCGCGCCGGGGGGACTCCTGAGGGGTCATGGTGGTGCAAAGGGGGGCTGTTGAGCATACACGCCTGCTCTCCCCCCCCATCCAGCAGGTGCGGCTGTGCGCCCGCGTCCCAGGCCAGCCCCTCCTTCCCGAGGGGCATGGCCGGGCATGGAGGGAGCCTGAGTGCACCTAACCGCATGCACACTCACAAAGTCGCTGTCCGAGCTGCTGCAGGCCTGGGCCGGCTTGTTCTGCAGTCGCCGCCAGAAGGGCGTGGCCGCCCGAAAGTCCTCGGACTGATACCGGTCCACGCTGCGCCGCGTGCTGCGCAGGCGGGGGTGGCTCCCGACATGGCGCCCACCGGCCTCCTGCTGGGGTTGTGAGTGGGGTTTGGGGAGCGCGGCGGCAGGGGAACAGAAGAGGAGGGGGGGAAGGAAGTAATCATTGCGGGCATCAACCAGCCGGGCAGGCACCTCGTCCTCGCTGTCCAGCGCGCCAACTCTGCCGGCGGGTGTCAGGCGCAGCCTCTTGCCCGACCCGGGAGTCGGACGCGGCGAGGTGCAGGGATTCAGGCCAGCAGCGCCCGCGCTAAGCCCTCCACCTCTCTGCAGCGCCTGCCAGGACGCTTCCTTGCCATTCTGGGGAGTTCCCTATGCAAAATGTGGTGCGTGGGGTGGTGGCGGTGCCCTGAGGAGTGTTTCACCCGCAGGGGCTCGTCCTTGTTGCCACACTTGTCCGAGAAGCGCACCTCCTCCCTCAAGGACTTCAAAGAGGAATGAGGGGGGGGCAAAGATGGACGGTCCATTCTCGCCTGGGGGACGAGTGGCGGCGGCGTCCTGCTGGGAGTGCTGGTGTGGGGCTGGAGGCCTGCATGCCCTGGGGGTGCGGTTGTGGGTCCCACGTCCCGCGCCACGACCACTGAATCACCTAAACACCTCCTAATGCACACCTCAGTGGGTCATTGTGGTGCTGACCTTGCAGGGGTGTGCGAAGGTAGATCCGGCGATACGGGCGCCGCAGTAGGACTTCCTCATGGCCACATTGAGGTCCAGCAGGGGCGAGCTGTTTCCGAGCACATCCGCAACGCTTGTTTGTCGCAAGCAGTCACCTAGTCTTCGTAGCATACACTCGCCGCATTACCCGGCGCGTTTGGATCGGAATTGGTATGATGGCGCGCGGAATTCAAATCGGGGCGCAGCCCTGTGCGCAGCCCTGTGCGCAGCCTGTGGACCGACTGCGTGCTGGTGCCTCATGAGGAGCATATGAGGGCTCTGGCATTGCCAAAAATAAGAGGTAGCGCCTGGAAGTAGGAAGCGTGTACGACTATGTGTGCTGCTGGCTGTGGGACACCCTCCGATCACGCCTAGGGGCGATCCCCGTGAACCACATCAGCCGACAGGAGCCAGGATATCACGGCCGCAGCGCGGCTTCCTCTCACAGCTCGAACAGTTTTTTGCCGTTTGCCCTGCTTGTGCCTTTGCGCGACCATAGAGCACGTCATGGTGTGGGCAGTCACGTTCAGGGAGGGTGGCATCTGGGAATAGCCGCGCAAGGTGGTGAGGCTGGCGACGGCCCATTTCTGTGTGCACCTGCATGAGTTGTACGCTGTATCATGTGCCTGCCCTGCCAATCGCGATCTCTCCAAGGCACAAATGTGCACTTGGTGTTCTCTGAACATGTCCCTGACAATCTTCTCTTCGACCGCAAGCTAGACTGGTGAGCCACCAGCTCAGGGCGACACATATGACGTCAGCGCAAGCATGACCACCCCCTGCTCCCAGCGTGAGGTTTGCACCCCAAGGGAGCCCCCTATCAGTAACACTTTTGCGAATGCCTAAGTAAACCCATGATGCTGCCTGGAATAGAGGGTTGTGCGGCAGATGTTGGTCCACATCGTGGCAGTGCATCCATTTAACTCACCAGGCAGCTTTGAGGCTCGTGAGGCACTTCATGTCAGAGGTGCCCGCCACGCCGGAGCATTGAGGTGCGGCAGTGACGAGAGGGCAATTCGCAAGCACATATCGCTGACATGGCTTTCCAGAGAAAACGCTCTGGCATGAGCATGAGGGATATATGGTCGATTTTTAGTAGCTTTGCTGTTGCAGCGCCGGGATATGACAGGCGTCGGTGTCCGGACTGCGGAACCGCCCTCCACACGCAGTGGCCCACGCCTGCGTCCACCGCACTTGTCGTCAGTAGCAATAAAATCCCTCGTTGCTCTCCAGATATCGGTTCTGAGAAACAATCGTAGGGCAGTGTGTCCTGTCTTCAGCTGCTGATCTCCTTCCATATCGCTACCTCATGCTCCCGTCCGCGCTGCCCTGGAGCAGCAGGTTCACATTGCTGCTTGCCTTTGGTATCGCCGCTGTCGTGAATGTGAGTAGCTTTGTCTGATGTATCCGATGTAGTTGCACTCCTCATCTGCGGGTCAATATCATTCTAGGTCTTCCATCCCTGCGCAGGCGGACTGCGACCCTAGGATAGGATTCTTCAGTCTTCCCACCATCCTGTGAGTTCTTGTCTCTACGGAATAGCAATACGAATCATCTGATCAATGTTTTGTGTGTCCCACCCTACTTCCACGATGCACTCAGCTAGTTGACCCATCCTGCCCAGGTATGATGGACAGCTTTACCTGGCACACGGGGGAAACCCACAGGCGTTCTGCAGGTGGGTCCAAGAGTGGGCATCTCGAGCATTGCGCACTAGTGAAGCTGGCCTGGCAGAGCGCCGGCCACAGGAGATGAAACATTTCTGAGGGAGCGCTCACCCACAACGCAGGCTGAAGGGCTTCTCTACCAGTGCTTTAACCGACATTCGGCCGATGAGGGTTGGCTATCCATTCCCAGATGCGGCCATCAAGACCATCAACCCAGATACCTGGGCGGTGTGTGATCCTGCCAAGCGTAGCTTTAAAAGAGAATGCTCCTACCTGGGCATTGTCGAGTGTCTGCCGGAAGGAGTGTCAAAGTGTGAGAGCTGGGACACCATAATCGAGGACACGATTGGCACAGGCAACGAAGGAAGTGCTAACTGGGGTAACAACAACTTTGGCCAAGAAAACCATGGTAAGCATCGTAAGCTTATGTGACGGACTGGTTGTTCAAGAGCACAGGGCTCTAACGCCCCAAGCCCCACTGCTGCAGGCAACGGCAATCGCGGCGACGGCAATGTTGGCAACAACAATGTCGGTGACAACATTGTTTGCAACAACAAGCGTGATGCTTCCCCATGTCTGCTGTCAGACCTCCTCACCTCGGAGACCGTGGTTGTCCATCCAGGACCATCCCCGCCGCCAGTGGTCCCTCCGCCTCCTCAGCCAGAGCCTCCCTCACCACCCCCCGGGGAAGGTGGCTGTGACCCCAGCATCGCCTTCTTTGGACTGCCCACTGTGGAGTAAGTCCGGGAGGGTGCGCCACTGCCACCCTCCTGCGCTCCCCCATGGGCACCTGCGTCGCTCAAGGGGCTCGCTCTACCTGCGGAACCCATCGGCACAGTCTATCCTCCCATGGCCCCTTCCAGGTACATGAATTCGCTCTACCTGCTGAATCCAGAGGGTGGCGAAGCCTTCTGTCAGTGAGTTCCTATCTGCAGTATGAGTGCTGTGTGGCCAGGCCATGTCAAAGCAGAGCTTGTGTAGACAGGTTTCCCTGCAGACCACCGAGCAAGCCATCCAGTGTTTTGCTCCAGTGGCATAATGTCTAGCATCATCCTTACCCACACAGGCAGAAGGGCTTTGGGGGCGGAGGCATCGTCCCCCACATCTTCAATGTCTTTGACAGGTCTCCATTTCTAATCCTCCACATCGCCACAATCAATCCCTCCAACATGGAGACTTGTCTCCCCACCAGCACCACATCCTGCCAGGCTGCCAGCGTGATCCAGTGCGTACTGCTGCAGGCAGCGGCAATCGCGGCGACCGTAATGTTGGCGACAACAACGTTGGCGATGGCATTGTTTGTAATAACAAGCGTGACACCTCCCCATGCCTACTGTCAGACCTCCTCACGACGGAGACCGTGGTTGTGCATCCAAGGCCATCCCCGCCTCCAGTGGTCCCTCCGCCTCCCCAGCCACAGCCTCCCTCACCACCCCCCGGGGAAGGTGGCTGTGACCCCAGCATCGCCTTCTTTGGACTGCCCACTGTGGAGTAAGTCCGGGAGGGTGCGCCACTGCCACCCTCCTGCGCTCCCCCATGGGCACCTGCGTCGCTCAAGGGGCTCGCTCTACCTGCGGAACCCATCGGCACAGTCTATCCTCCCATGGCCCCTTCCAGGTACATGAATTCGCTCTACCTGCTGAATCCAGAGGGTGGCGAAGCCTTCTGTCAGTGAGTTCCTATCTGCAGTATGAGTGCTGTGTGGCCAGGCCATGTCAAAGCAGAGCTTGTGTAGACAGGTTTCCCTGCAGACCACCGAGCAAGCCATCCAGTGTTTTGCTCCAGTGGCATAATGTCTAGCATCATCCTTACCCACACAGGCAGAAGGGCTTTGGGGGCGGAGGCATCGTCCCCCACATCTTCAATGTCTTTGACAGGTCTCCATTTCTAATCCTCCACATCGCCACAATCAATCCCTCCAACATGGAGACTTGTCTCCCCACCAGCACCACATCCTGCCAGGCTGCCAGCGTGATCCAGTGCGTCCCCTCTGGAGTGCCGCTTTGCCAGCCAAATCTGGATGGCAATGTGGGCACTGGCAATGTGGGCTCTGGCAACTATGGGAACAACAACATTGGCAGCAACAACTATGGTAAGCCCGGGGGGTCCCCCGGCTGCGCAACCTGTGCACCGGAGTGTACAGCATGTCTAATAAACGCACATCCATGCTGCAGGCAGCTACAACCAGGGATTGGGTAACACCGGGAGCTGGAACAGGGGGACCCAGCTCACCTGCAACTACGCCAACACCAAGACCAGGGCCTGCCCCATCTGGATCCTGAAGTTGAGCGAGACCCTGCTGATAGACCCCTCACAACCTCGTTCTCCACCGCTCTAACAGAGCCAGAGGAACCGCCCTACAAGGTAGGGATCAAGGACACTGGGCCTCATGGGTCTGAAGTATCTTACATGACGCAACACAGTCGATGTGCAATGTAAACTACAGTTTGTTCAAAATGAGGTCCTTACAATGACACCTCATGGCACTTTGCATCCGATCCGCAAATGGAGGACGACCTGGCGCGAACAGCTGGGTCTTAGGGAGAGTGCTGCTGCAGCGCTCGGAGCCACTGGGCTGGAGCTGGAGGCCTATGTGGAATGCTAACGAGGACGGAGCATTGGCCAAACCAGAAGGCATGAGCTTGCACTATGCCATGTGCTCAAGCCCTTGTTACTGTAATGCAGCGACCCCGAATGGAAGCTGCGACGCAAAATCGGGAGGCAAGAATGGAGTCCAGCCGGGCTGACGAGCTGGGACCTGAAGGTGTTTTCTCCCCACTCCACAATCTAGCTCCTACCCTTCCCTCTATAGTGAGGAACCTCCCCCTCAATTGAAGACGCCGCCACTCGTGTTGTGCAAGGTGTCATGCCGCTCCAGGAATAGTAGAGCTTCCCCTTTCGTCTGAGACTTCTTTCCCTTCAGAATCTTGCCAAAACACACGGATGAAAGATCGCTCCACCAAGCGTCTAGCAACCTTCCTGCCTCAGAGGAAGGGCATGTTCACCTCTGCTGCACCTCCCTCGCGTACTTCACCTGGAAGCTTGTAAGTCACAAGAGGTGGTGAGTACTGCTCGCCTGGCCGAAGCCTCGAGTCCGGCGAGTGTGGCGGTGACGAGCGGGCAACCAGCACGCTCTCGCGTCGCCTCACTGCAAGCACATATCGCTGACATGGATTTCCAGAGAAAACGCTCTGGCATGCACATGAGGATGAATGATCGGTATATAAAGAGTATGCAGCGCGGCTGGATTATCTTGACAGACGTCGGTGTCCGGCGGTTTTCCGGCCCGCCCTCCTCCCCCGAGACCCGTGCCTGCGTCCGCCGAGGCTGTCTGCGATAGCCAGGAAGCTCCGTTCTGCCCTTCAGACACCAATTCTGAGGACAAGCCGTAGCGCAGTGTGTCGAGCCGCCACTTACTAGCCATTCTCTTTGTCGTTACCTCATGTCCCCGTCCGCACAACCCTGGAGCAGCTGGTTGACGCTACTGACTGTCTTCGGAACTATTTACGTCGTGACCGTGAGTTATTTTATTGGTAACTCAAAGAGAAGCGTGCTTTTTCTGCAGGTTTGGGTCCCTAGCGCACTCTGATCCCGGGTTTTCCATCCGCGCACAGGCGGACTGCGACCCGAGAATAGGATTCTTCAGTCTTCCCACCATCTTGTAAGTCGATACCCTTGCCGATGTAAGAACGTCAGAAGAGGGTCCCATCACGATGCTGTTTGCATTCTGTTCCAGCATCGCCACGCGCTCACTCGACTGCAAGCAACCCATTCTGTACAGGTATGATGGAGAGTTGTACCTCGCACACGGTGGAAACCCGGAGGCTTACTGCAGGTGGGCCTAAGAGTGGGAAGTTTGACTATTGCGCACGGGTGAGGCTGGCCCGGCAGAGCGCCGTCCACAGGAGATGGGGCATTTCTGAGAGAGCGCTCACCGCGACAACGCAGGCTCAAGGGCTTCTCTACGAGTGCACTCGCCGACATTCGTCTGTTGAGCAAGGGAGATCCATTCTCAGATGCAGCCATTAAGACCATCAACCCGGATGGTTGGGCCGTGTGTGACCCTTCCACGCATTCCTTGAAGAAACATTGCCCCTACCTGGGCATTGTCGAGTGTCTGCCGGAAGGAGTGTCAAAGTGTGAGAGCTGGGACACCACAATCGAGGACACGATTGGCACAGGCAACGAAGGAAGTGCTAACTGGGGTAACAACAACTTCGGCGACCAGAATCATGGTGAGGATTGTATGGGCGTGTGACAGACTCGTTTAAATAGCATTGGATATCAACGACTCATGTCCCACTGCTGCAGGCAGCGGCAATCGCGGCGACCGTAATGTTGGCGACAACAACGTTGGCGATGGCATTGTTTGTAATAACAAGCGTGACACCTCCCCATGCCTACTGTCAGACCTCCTCACGACGGAGACCGTGGTTGTGCATCCAAGGCCATCCCCGCCTCCAGTGGTCCCTCCGCCTCCCCAGCCACAGCCTCCCTCACCACCCCCCGGGGAAGGTGGCTGTGACCCCAGCATCGCCTTCTTTGGACTGCCCACTGTAGAGTAAGTCCGGGAGGGTGTGCCACTGCCACCCTCCTGCGCTCCCCCATGGGCACCTGCGTCGCTCAAGGGGCTCGCTCTACCTGCGGAACCCATCGGCACAGTCTATCCTCCCATGGCCCCTTCCAGGTACGTCCACAGGAGATGGGGCATTTCTGAGAGAGCGCTCACCGCGACAACGCAGGCTCAAGGGCTTCTCTACGAGTGCACTCGCCGACATTCGTCTGTTGAGCAAGGGAGATCCATTCTCAGATGCAGCCATTAAGACCATCAACCCGGATGGTTGGGCCGTGTGTGACCCTTCCACGCATTCCTTGAAGAAACATTGCCCCTACCTGGGCATTGTCGAGTGTCTGCCGGAAGGAGTGTCAAAGTGTGAGAGCTGGGACACCACAATCGAGGACACGATTGGCACAGGCAACGAAGGAAGTGCTAACTGGGGTAACAACAACTTCGGCGACCAGAATCATGGTGAGGATTGTATGGGCGTGTGACAGACTCGTTTAAATAGCATTGGATATCAACGACTCATGTCCCACTGCTGCAGGCAGCGGCAATCGCGGCGACCGTAATGTTGGCGACAACAACGTTGGCGATGGCATTGTTTGTAATAACAAGCGTGACACCTCCCCATGCCTACTGTCAGACCTCCTCACGACGGAGACCGTGGTTGTGCATCCAAGGCCATCCCCGCCTCCAGTGGTCCCTCCGCCTCCCCAGCCACAGCCTCCCTCACCACCCCCCGGGGAAGGTGGCTGTGACCCCAGCATCGCCTTCTTTGGACTGCCCACTGTAGAGTAAGTCCGGGAGGGTGTGCCACTGCCACCCTCCTGCGCTCCCCCATGGGCACCTGCGTCGCTCAAGGGGCTCGCTCTACCTGCGGAACCCATCGGCACAGTCTATCCTCCCATGGCCCCTTCCAGGTACTTGAACTCGCTCTACCTGCTGAATCCAGAGGGTGGCGAAGCCTTCTGTCAGTGAGTTCCTATCTGCAGAATGGGTGGTCTTTGGGAAGGGCCTTGTCAAAGCATTGCCAATGTAGACAAGACGCTTTACAGACCACAGAGCAAGCCATTCATCTTGATAATGCAGTGTCCCAATGTCTGCCCCAATTTTCTCCCGCAGGCAGAAGGGTTATGGAGGTGGAGGCGTCGTTCCCCACACTTTTGCTGTCTTGGACAGGGTTCCCTTTTTATTTTTTCTCATCGGCACGATCAATCCCTCAAACATGGGGACCTGTCACCCTAGGGGGCTGGCAGCCTGCCAGGCTGCCAGCGTGATCCAGTGCGTTCCCTCTGGAGTAATGCCATGCCAGCCGAATCTGGATGGCAACGTGGGCACCGGAAATGTTGGCGAGGGCAATTATGGGAACAACAACATCGGTAGCAACAACTATGGTAAGCCTGTGGTTCCCCCGCCTGTGCGACCTGTGCATCAGTGTGCGCTGTATGTCCAACAGGTGCACATACATGCTGCAGGCAACTACAACAAGGGATCGGACAACACGGGAAACTGGCTCAAGGGGGACAAGCTCACCTGCAACTATGCAAACATGAAGACCAAGTCCTGCCCCCTTTGGATCCTGAAGTCGAGCGAGACTCTGATGATGGCAGCCCCCTCACCACCCCCTTTCCCACCGCCATCCTCCCACCCCCCCCATCTCCTCCGCCACCGGGCCAGTTGTGCGACCCCCGCACCGCCTTCTTTGCCTTGCCCACCATGGAGTGAGTTGCACGTGGTGTAGACTTCATGGTGGTGGTCTTCTGATGGGAAGCATGTGGGTTCAGCATGGCATGAGGCTTGCAAGCCTCGTGAGCTGGACAGAGAACCGACCCCAAACCCCTTCCTGCACTAGGTTTCAAGGTGCTCTGTACTTGGTGAGCGCATTCAATCCCGACCGATTCTGCCGGTAGGTCGTCTCCCATCGCTCTGTAGTGTGCATGGGGGTGTAGAATGACAGCCAGGGTGTGTGTGTGCGTGTATGTGTGTGCGTGCGCGCGCGCGCACATGCGTAAGGGTTTCAGCTGCTATTTGAGCGTGGAGTGTGCTGGAATGCTGGACTCAACCCCGTTCCCTCTCTGATGCACGGCAGGATGAAGGGTTTTAATGGAACAGGCATCTGGAACTCCATCAACGTTGGCCTCAACAGCCCATTCGACCGCTTCTCCATCGGCACACTGGACCCTAGGACCTTGAAGATCTGCACTCCCAGCGCAGCGACGATCTGTCCCGCCGTCTCTGTGGTTGAGTGCGTCGCCGTGCGCGTCGGGAAATGTCTACATGACGCTAGCGGAAATATTGGCAATGGCAACACAGGGGTCCAGAACATCGGTTACAACAACATTGGCAGCAATAATCAAGGTTTGTATCGAGAGGAGATAGCCCAGCCAATGTTTATCCCCGTCGCTCCAGAATCTTCCTCAGGCCTCCCATTATCACCTGCGATGCAGGCAATGGCAATCGAGGAGATTCCAACATCGGCACCGGGAATCAAGGTCACCACATCGTTTGCAACCAACTGGACTCCCAGCAAGGAAATTCGTGCGAGCTGTCTGCCCTTCGGACAGCAGAAACACTGATCCTGGACGACTTCTAGGCCCCACCGTTCCCTTCTCCTTCCCATGTGGAGCACCACTGGTTATAATATTAGAAGTCGTACCACCACGGGCTGCCACTCCCTTCTCAGACTCCCATGGCCCCAGTGACCCCCCGGGACTGGCATCCATCTGTCTCTTGCCTTCCGTGACGCACTCGACCTGTGTGTCGGCTCCTCCGCCCCTGTTGGATTTCTGCCCTTTGCATGGGGCATTGTAGCACCGAGTGCACCTGCACACTCTCATGCAGCTCCCCTCCAAGCAGAAGCCCCTCGTCACTGATGAGACCTTGGCGTGTGAGGAATCCATCACCACTTGCTGCCACACTTTCTCTTGTCAGAAGGTCACCTCCCCTCCTGCCCATTACCTTCAGACCTCCTCAGTCCATAAGGCCTGCCCTGCCATGTCCTCAGGTGACCGCCTGTGCCACCTCTCAAATCCATTCTCTTCCCCCAAACCAAGGTGCTGACCCCTTGTTCCACAAACGAGCCTGTGCCCTTCCCCACGAGGGAGAACTCTTCACCAGAATCACAGATGGCGCCAAGCTTGTCCAGCTGAGCGCTACCACGCTTCAGGACGGGCAAATCTTCCCCCTCCTGTGAGGATGTGCCCGCCACCCAAGGTTGCACCGTCTCCCGTCGACATCCCAGAACTGTTCCTGCATCAGAGAGAGCCCATTGTTTTCCTCTGCTGCAACCCCCCCTTCATCGTTCGTTCTTGCTTCTTAGAATCTGTTTTGCTTAGACAATTAGATCCCTACCAGGCTTGCGCCGGTTGCACAGCTGCTTCCCGCAAGCGGGATCTGACTGGCGCAGTTGGTTGCCTCTAATGGCGAACCAGAGGGGGTGGGGGGGGTGGGAGGGCGGGAGAAGACGAAGCAGGGGGGCCACCAAATGCAGTGGGACGCGACGCCCCAGCAAAAAAGCACTTGGTTAGCATCAGGATGTTGGCCGCCCCGTTGTTGTGGGGATTCCCCTTGACCGGGCGCTTTCCCCACTTTCCACCTGTTCCCGCTCTGCCCCGAGTCCACGCCTCCTTGCGGCGCCTATGAAACCCGACCAACACACTGCATTCGGGGTCTTGTCTGTAACATTCCTATCTTAGGTCATATACGGCGGTCCACGTTGTAGGGTCTAACCCGCCCCCACAACACCCGTTCACGTCGCGGTTGACGACATGAACTCTGCAGCCCTTGTTGACACACCGCTTCGTGTCCCACACGTCCACCAGCTTCTCTTCGCTGTTGCGCACCCGCTCATACTGGTGGGCGTGCAGGGTGGCGTGACAGGCGCAGCACAGTTTGGAAGTCCTGTGCTCGTCAACCACCACCACCCTGCACACCCGCCGCAGGCGCCGCAAGGACTTGATCCAGGGCCCCGGCGGAGTCCCCCGCATGATGCCCCCCCGGTCATGGGCCGACCAGTTGCCCACGCCCACGACCGTAGTCATGCCCGGGGGGGGGCGCGGAACTGCTCCGCCAGCCGGTTGATGGCCCGCTCCCTGCCGACGTAGGCCTGGTGGCGCAGCTTCCGGAACGGCTTCTCGTCCCTGTGCCAGGCCAGGCCCTGTCGCAAGGTGGGGACGATCCCTCGGATCAGTCACTCTCCCGGGAAAGGTCCCTGTTCGAGGCGATGGGCACCGTTCACTTGGCAAAGCTTCACGAGCCCCATCGTGAGCCATGATTCGTCGGAATCCAGGGTGTGGACCTTGTCTGTGTTCGGGTGCTGTCTCGTCGCGCTCGTCAGGTCTCTGCGGGACCCGGCTGGAGCACGTAAACCCTCAATAAGGGGTTGGATTTGTGCAAGAATGTCCTTTCTCCAGGGAAGCAATATCCAATTGCAACCTTGACAGGTCTGGACGTTTCGCCATTCTGAGTGAAGCCTGCTACCAGACAAGCTGAGATATAAACTTCGGACCACCCACTACATCTCGCCGAGCATTAGATGAGGAACCCCGGATGAGGAAGTGCCGGCAGCGTGCACGGTCCTGTGTGGCGAGACCAGGGACCCAATGCAGCAGCGTTCTCGACAGTGGACCAGGCGGGGCCAAGGTGACTGGCCATGCAAAGGGCGTGGCCTGGCTGTCTTGCAACCAAGCGGTGGGTCCTCGGGGCCGTGACGCTGGCCATCGGCGTCCCTGCGGCCAAGGGCGCCCAGGCGCAGGTGCCCTTTGGCCCCGTCGGCGGTGACGTGACCACTTACTACGACGGCATCGTGTACCGCGTGCAGCTGCGTTACACAGGCCTCAGTGACGTGCATACCAATGTTGCCGAGCTGCGTGACTACCTCGGCGTGCTCGCGGTGGACTGCGACGCCGGCCCCGCCTTCGACGCCACCACCCTCGCGGCCTGTGGCGCTGAGTCCCCGTACAAATGCACCAGCCAGGCCTGCCCGGGGGCGCGGTGGGTGGAGGTCGCGCTGGTGAACAACCTGGGCAGCCAGCGGGTCTTGTTCAACCTGCCCGGCGGTGGCCCGCAGGCGGCATGGCTGATCTTGACCCTCACCGTGCGCATGCATCCGAGCGCCACCAGATGCGGGGCCCCCACGGTATGCGCCCTTGACGTCGGCAATGGCGACGTGTTGGGCAGCCCGCAGACCTCGGGTGGCGGCGAGAACACCGCCTGCCAGAGCGCCGCCCGGCCCGTGTTGACCGCGGTGTGGATCGGCCCCACGCCCCCCGTCCAGGGGCACAACGTTGCTGGGGTGGGCCTCACCTGGCAGCTCCAGGCGCAGCTCTCCAACGGCTCCATGGTACCCTACAGGCAAGCCCTCGCCGATCCGGTTGCGTTCGCAAGCAACATCGCCTGCGCCCAGGCCTGTGGGATGGCGTCTTTGCCGCCTTCGCCAGCGTCACGGCCGTGGGTGGCTTTCTCGCCCAGCTGCAGGTGGCACCAGTCGGCTTGCCCGACCCGCCCTCCGGCGACGTGGCGGTGACGCTGGGCACGCCGCCCCTGGCGACACCTGTGCGCCTCGGCATCGAGGTCGAGCGGGCGGTCACGCGCCTCAGCGTGGCGCTGAGCCTACCGGGGCAGGCGGCGGTCGCCAGGGTGCTGGTGGCCGCCGCCGTCGATGGCGCCACCAACGCCAGCGGCGGCGAGGAGCCGAGCCGCGCTACCTTCGTGGTCGTCGCCCGTAATAACTTTGTATAGCAGCCCGGTCAAGGGGAAACCCCACAACAGGAGCGCATCGCGGCGCCTTTGTGCGCCGAGACCGCGCCCGAGGTGGTGCTCGCCGTCTTCCCCGAGGTGCGCATCGTGCTCACCAGCGACGTCGCCGCGGTGTGCCCCGGCAACCTGGTGCACCTCAGCGCCAAGATCGACCAGCTCGCCGGCGGCAGCCTGGGCGACCTGCGCTTCAGCCTGCGCCCCGGCGCCGGCGTCAAGAGCCTGTGGCCGCTCCGCAGCGTCGCCGCCGGGGTGCAGGTCGATGCGGTGCCCGACGGCTTCGCCCTCCCCAGCGCCAGCGACTCGGCGGGAGCGCTGGGCTGGGTTCTCATGGCCGGTGGCGGCCTGGGCTACGGCAGCCTGGCGGGGACCTTGGAGGCGGCGCGCGGCAGCGCCAGGGTGGCGCCCTCCGTGCTGCAGATCCCCGGGGCGTGTGAACCCGACTTCGTCCAGGCCACCCTCGCCGGCCGGGCGTTCGTGGACGAAAACGGCGATGGGTTCGCTGGCCCAGACGAGGCCGGCCTTGCGGGGGCCATGGTGGCCCTGTCAGCCGGGGTGGACGCCCGCACCGACGCCATGGGCCACTACCACATCACCTGCCTTGCGCCGGGCCGCCACGCCATCAAGCTGGACCCACCGCCCACGCACCCTGCATGCAGCCTCGGACGATGCTTGGAGTGTGCTGGAATCGCACATTCTGGGGTGACTGCTGCGGCCCATCTGGATTGATGGTGCTGCGAGACCCATACGGCTGCCGATGGCGGCCACTGCTGGAAGACTGCTCCGAGCAGGTCAGCCACCCTGCACACCGCTGGTGTCTTTCCAGTCCTTTCTCGTTTCCACTTGTAACCCACGCCTGGAGGATGCTGTAACAGATGCACAGCAGCATGTTGGGGACAGGGGATCTGTCTACATGGGGTCGGGAAGTCTGAGTTTCAAGCTATGCGCATCGTTGGCGCCCCTGCCCACACTGGCTTCCATCATGAGTAGGGATGAAGGACCACATTTACACATGCATGTCAGAACGAACAAAGACATTGCATCCTTTCATCTTCTTTGGCATGCTTTGTGAGACACTCCTCCCTGGACTTGGCCTTGGCTTTGCATCTGCTGCCAATGAACCTGCATGCAAAGTACTCCCAGGCATCGGCATCCCATAGTGACACTTTTTGCCAATCAGCCCCACCGTTTGCGCTTCCCTTGTATGTCTTCATGCGACCTCTGCAGATGTGAAGATGCACTCTGATGACATTTACACTCCAGATATTCCCTCCAATCTGTTGTGTCGACATGCAGGAGGAGC